TGTGTTTTTCTCAGATAAATGTTAATAAATTTCACTTCCAATCCCCTAAATGTGGATGCTCCCCAAATTTCCAATATTGACTTTGTCTTTCTGTTTCTCCTGTCTTTAACTTTGACCTCATCTACATATAAGGTTTCAAACATATCCGAGGTGCAAAGTATTCCAAAAGATTCAAAAAATCAATATTCACAGTCCTGACTTGTCCTTCAAAATGCAGTTCCTGCTGCTACGAGGCATTTCCACTTGGATGTATCACCCAGCACCTCAGACTCACCTTGTCCAAACATGCCTATTTCCTCCCCACCTCTAGCCCACACAATTAATTTCATCTCTGGATTTCCCTATTTTTATTGGTGCTACTATTCTTTCAATAGGTTATAAATTATCCCATTGTTAGAAATGTCAGGATAATGTTAATACTCATATCCAACGAGTCAGCCAGTGTTACTGCTTTTCCCTTCAAAATGTGTTTTGCATTCCCAACTTTATTTCCATTTGCTAGTTTTTGTCTTTTTCCACTCATTCAATAAATACATATACAGCAATAACTATATGAGAGGCACTATTCTTGGTCCTGGGGTACGAACAAAACAGACCAAGTCACGCCCTCCTGACTTCATCTATCCTACCACCTTGGTGTCAGTCTCTTCCAGCCTGAGGGGGCTGTCTACTCAATGCAGCCTGCTTGCACTGCTAAAGTGCTCCTTTGCTATATCACTATGCCCCCTCTTGCCTCTCAAGGGCTCTGTAAGATAAATTCCACCCTCTTAGAGTTCCATCCCCTACAGTCTATAGAGGACCATCCCAAACTCCTTACCTCCCGGGCCCTCTGTCCCAGCCAAAATTGGATCTTTGCTTTTGGCTCATTCCCACTTCATTACTCTTGCCTGTTATACTTCTCCATCTAAAATTTATTCTTCTCATCTCTCTACATGTGACGTTCTTAAATTCCCCCTCTTATGTGAATTCTTCCCAGCCCACTTCTACCTTTCTTGCCCACTTCTGAATTATTTTATCACATATACCTGGCAATTAATCATGGTTTACCTTGGGGCATCTATTGCATTGCAAAGGACTCCTTATTAACTGCATTGTTATTTATCTTTAAATGTTTGTCTTTTCACCAATCTTAAGTAGTTAAGTTAAACAATAGTTGATGCAATATATCTGACTGCAAGAAATTGCATACCAGTCTGTCCTCCTAAACTCATAAAAGTTTGACCAAACCCAAGATCAGGAAGACAGAGTTGAGCCCTGCCTCCTGTTCTCCTTGCTGGTGGACCTAGTAATAAAAGCTCTTATTTCCTCAAGGCTGGTGCAATAGTATTGGCTTCCATGCACACTGGGCAGTAAGCCCTTGCTCAGTAACAAAGGATGTTTACATTTTGTTAGAAAGAAGTGAGGGGACTTCAATCAAAGGGGAAAATATCATTTGAGAGTCTATACAATAATAGCTTAGTTGACATTTGAAGAAAAATGTAAAATATTCAATTCTCCCACTCTTTAAGATATAAAAGCTAATAATAAAAACATTCTTAATTTCCTTATTAAGGCTTGTTTAGAAAGAGAGAAAAGATGGAGAAAGGAAGAAAGTAAGATTTGTTGATTTCCAGGAATGGGGAAAAGATGACAGACACCAAGGGATAGGAAAGGCCATCTCTTCAAGCCCACCCCAATGATCATTCCTATTGTATGGCTATACCATAAACACCATACTTTCTTCAACTGTTCAAATTAGATATTTAGTAACACTATCCACATAAGTTCCTTTGTACTTGTCCACGAGTTCTCATGTTTTTGTTAGGAAAATACTGTCACCTGTTTTGCCTAGGCCTCAGTCTAATCCCTATTGCTTCCAGTCTCTCCCTGCTGCTGAATGCTTAGCCAAAAAGTGATCCTTCTTTTCCCTTTTCCCTTACCCCATTCACCCTGTGCCACACTAGTGCAAGCAAACTCCCCTCCTAACTTGCTTAGGTGATTTCCATCCCATACCCCTATCCCCATTTCCTCTAGGACAGCAGCACTTTCCACCTGGCCACCTTCATCCTCCCAGCCTTGGGTTAAGACATTTACAGAAGTTAAATAATTTGCACTTACTTATACAACTGGTAGGTAGCAGAGTGAAACCTGAATAGAGGTGCTTATACCTGTATACCTCTCCCTATTCCCTCGCTCTTAATTACCATACTAAGTATGATTATAGTGATTAAGGGAGATTATAAAGTAATGAAATGGATTTTTCTGTATGGCTTGTGACAAATTTATAGGTACTGCATATATCATGTAAATGAGACCATCTATGCAATATTTATGCCTGATTAGAAAGAATTCTCATGGGTTGTCTTAGGTGAGCACTGGTCTGCATTCTGTTGAAATACTTCAAGTTTAATGTGCTTTTAGATACTATAGTCAAGAATGGCACATTTTATACCTAAAGATTCCAATCCACAAATGAATTGTTTTCTTGCCATTGAGAAGCAACTAGAAAATGTGCTTTGCATTACATTTACTGTAAGATGCAAATAAAACACTAGAGAGCTTAGCTCCTGCACAGATGATAAAAGGATTATTTGCAACTCTAAGTACCTTTAAGAAACCTTTCAGGAGACACCAAGTGTCTTTAAGAAGAAACCAAAGTTTAAAAGGGAGGATAGCAAAAAAGTGTGTTTTCATTCTTCCATATGGGTAATGCGAGCTGTAAACAACGCATAAGGTTGGAGAAGTGGGGCCTGGATCAATTACTGAAAAGGAAGAATAACAAAAATATTTCTTAAAGTTTCTAGAGTTTTAGGGTTCTAGAAAGAGTTCTAGAATTTTCAAAGTGCTCTTACATATATGACCTCATGTTACCATACTGATCCCCGGCAGCAGGCAGAGTAAGTGTAAGGTTCTTCACCTTACAGAGGAGGAAGCTGCGGCTCAGTGTCAAAATCCTTTATGAAACTTTTCACACCTAATAAATAACAAGGAGGCACAAGTAATCCGAATGTTGTTTTAAAAACCTTTGGAAACAGCTACCTCCTTCCTGAATGGCAGCACTGACCTGACAAACAAAGTTTTCCCTGGATGACTTAGACCAAAAGTAATCTATAGGGGAGAATTTTTAGGCCAAATTATTAATCAAGGTCATGCTGATGGAGTTTTGTTTATTACAGAAATGGATCTCAGGAATCAAATGTAGATAATGAACAACAGAAAAAAAGAAAGGAGCCACAAAATCTTATACTTCCAAGGTGTTAAAGACAACATTCCTTCCTCGATAAATATATATTGAGCAACTACCACGCGCCAGCCACCATGTTAGACGTTAGGAATCCAACGGTAAGCAAAACAGGTATTTGCTCCCATCCTCAGAGTTTACAATCCAGTGTGTAGGGTGTAGGATGAATGAGTTTTTAAAAGAAATCTCAAAACTATATGATTACAAACCATGCTGGCACCCCGATCTGACTTCCACCTCCAGAACTAGGAGAAGTAAACTGATGTTGTTTATAAGCCAGCCGGGCTATGGCATTTTTGCCCTAGCAGCCTGAAGGGACTTCGGAGGACTGATCTAACCTGGTCCTCTGGGGGGCCAGAGGAAGCTTCTCTGAGGACGTGATGGAGATGCTGAGGTCTGACGGCTGAGCATGAAGCACGGGTCTGCTGCTGGGGGGCAGGAGGTTAGAGTGGCACTGGAAGGCTGTTAGGCAGGAGGGACAGCTGGCGCAGAGGTGCTGAGATGTGGGAGTGGAGGAGCACGTCCTAAGAAGTCTGAGCTGCTTAGAGGGCTGTCTCCACCCCCGCCTCCCTTTCTCCCTCTTTCCTCAATGCAGCGTCCACCCCAAGGTCCCCTGACACGGTCTGCACTGAGGTCACCAGCGAAGGCCAGGGTGACTCTAAAGGTCACCTCTCCAGGACCACTTCTCTGCTCAGCAGCCATCAGCGTCCACCCGGGGCAGCGCCGGTGACGCCCTACCGTGTCCCCCGGGGCATCGGCCAGACCACGCCGAACCTGAGCTCCCACCACCAGCACCGGACTCTTACCGGGCGCGGCCCCCGCTCACCCACGGCGCAGGCCCCGCCTCGGCCCGGGTTTGGTTCCCTGACCCCGGGTCTCACCTGGAAGCCTCGCCGCCTCGAGCCCCGGCGGCTTCTCGGGTCCGCAGCTCTGGCCCAGCCCGGGTCCAGCGCGTGCACGCCTCCCGGTCACTGTCACGGGGCCGTGGGTGTCATTTACTCGCGGAAGGGACGGTGCAAACAACCGGGAGGAGGAAACACGGGGGGACCGGCCGGAGGCCGGCGCGGAGACCGGGCCGGAGTGGCCGGGGCCTGGGCCCCCTCCGCGGCCGAGCCGCCCCCTTGGACGGGCCTATCCCGGCCTCGGGTCTCGGGAGTCCCAGGAGCCGCCGTTCTCCGTCGGAGGCCCGGCCCTCGCCCGCCTTGGACTCCTGATGGAATATTCGGCCCCGCCAGCTTGGGCAGTTTCATGGTTCTCTGGGGCCCTTTCCTTTCCTTAGACCGGGAAACCCGGGGCAAAGTTCTTCAGAGCTTCACCTTCCAGGTTAGCGTTGTGAGGCGCGCGCTACGCCCTGAAGCGCGGAAAGCGTCGTCTATCCTGCCAGTCGGGCCCGCGAGCGCTAGACGTGGCGGGAAAGGATGTGCGCCTCGGAACTGAGGGCCGCGCGCAGCTACCACGTCAGAGGGTGTGGCCTGAGCTCCACGGAGGGCTTGAGGGGAGTGAGGCCGACCTGGTAGTGGGCGTGGCGACAGGGTGGGATGGGCGGGGTAGGCCTTCTTCAGAGGGGCGGGGTCGGGGAAGCGGGATGGGACCAACCTGGCGGTGGGCGTGGTGGTTGGCAGAGTGGGCGGAGTCGACCTGCAGCCGGGGCGGGGGGCGGAGTAGGGAAGTTGCGACGGGGCCCAGAGGTGACTGCCCGGCGTTTTGTGACTTTGGTAGGACGGTTGGTGGCCGTTGACGGTTTGGTGGTGTGGTCTCAGCCCCGGGGGCGGGGCCAGTCATACCCAGGCTGTCCAGCTCGGTAGAAAGCAGAAACCCGCGGCCACCCCACGCTGCAAAGAGCATCTGCTCCGAGAAGCAAGGACCCTGCGAGGCCTGAGAGGTGGGGAGAGAAGCTGGGAACGGTGCGTTGTCACCTAGTGATGCTCAGTGATTAAGTGATTGCTCAAAAGCCAGAGGGTATTTGCAGAGAAGCTGGACATCGTGATGTCATGATCTCTTTTCGTAAATTAGAAAGCGGAGTAAAATTACTCTGTTTATCCAGAGTGGACTTGGGGCTCTAAGCCACTCAGGAGGGGAGGCGAGCGTGTGCCGTTAGTGAAGCAGCCCTGGAACGGGCCAGGCTCACCTGGGACAGTTGCTAGAGGCGTGATGGGCACCTTCTAACAGGAGATTCTCTGAGACTCAGGAATGCGGGGACAGGTTGCGGGCAGCAAAGGAGGCCGTTTGTGATCTTCAGTTAAGGGCAAGTTGAAAATAGTGGGGGCCCCGGGGCTGCCGCCGCTCCTGGGGAGGCTCTCCCGATTAATGTGGATTTGGGGGCAGGCACGGTCTCCTCTGAACTCGAGGTGTCATCTACCTTTTTAATTCTCTTGCTTCAGACAGCAAGGCCAGCCCCAACAGATGGAAGCTACGGGGAGGCCAGTTTAAACTTGATTGAAGGTAAGGATGCAGCCATCAGAACAATGGGCATACCCATTCCTAGCACTGCGCAACCATTTGCCAGGCAGGCAGAGCTTGACAGTGAAAAGAGCATGGCTTTGGCAATGAGACATCTCTCTGCTTAAGGTTCTAAATTGATCATTTAATTCTCCAAGCCTGTATTTCCTCTTTCCTTAAGAAAAGAACATGCTACTGTTCCCCCCAACTGGGGGTCTTCCTTGTGTTTTTCAAAGAGGCTACAGGGCTTCCCTGGTGGCGCAGCGGTTGAGAGTCCGCCTGCCGATGCAGGGGACATGGGTTCGTGCCCCGGTGCGGGATGATCTCACATGCCGCGGAGCGGCTGGGCCTGTGAGCCATGGCCCTGAGCCTGTGCTCCGCAAAGGGAGAGGCCGCAGCAGTGAGAGGCCTGCGTACCGCAAAAAAAAAAGGCAACAAAGTGCAATCAGATGTGAACATTACATTGGAGTTTCGTACCTCCTCAGAGAATGGTGTCCTCCTGGGCATCAGCAGCACCAAAGTGGATGCCATGGGATTAGAGATTGTAAATGGCAAGGTGGGTGCTGAATCTGGATGGGGTCCCCCCGCCTCACCCCAGTGTCAGAGCAGTTGAGAAACAGTAGAAACACCTATCACCAACTGCCAGTTATTCGCTGATGGAGTGGAGAGGTCTCCTCACTGTTACAGAGCTGATAATGCAATGCCTTTTCATGAGTCTGACAGTTCAGAGCCGGTGTCCTTCCCCTGCTCCCAGCCCAGACCCCAACTTGGCAGACGTGGAAGCAGAATCTCAAGTTACATGTCAAATGCATGTCAGGAACACACATCTGTTCCCAGAGGAGGAGGGTGGGACACCCAAGGCAGACATGTGTGACCACAGCCCATGTTTGGTACTTGAAGTTCCTGAGTGCCCTGAAAGTCAGTCATTAAACCCAGAGATATCCAAACACCGAAATTACTTTTTTTTTTTTTTCTGAAATAGAAATTGCATCTCTCTTTTTGAGTTTCACAGGATTGATCCGTAAGACCAGCCCTTCATCTGATAGCATCTGGGGCTTTCATTGTTATAGCTGCTCACAAAGCCTCTTATGAAAAATACTTTGCAAATGTTTCTCCCCTACAGCCTTTCCAGAAACTAGGGTACAATGACCTGTCTTTAGATTTTCCAGCCTCATGGCAGAGGCTCTGAACTCAGGCAAACCTAAGTTTTTTTCTTTTTTTTTTTTTCCCAAAGCTTACAAGCTTTTTCTTTTTTAAAAAAGAAAGGATATAAACTAATAACAGCAAAGGAAGTACTTTATATGGCTCTTCCCTTTCTGGAAACAAATAGTACATGAATGGAGCATTATAGCACCACACAGAGAGAATGTTCACGAAAGAGAAGGTACATCTAATTGAGTGGTTCTCAACCAGTGGCAGTTTTCCCCCTAGGGGACATTGGTCTGGAAATATTTTTAGTTGTCACAACTGAGGAGGAAGGGGAGGGGCTTCTGGCATCTAGTGGGGAGAGGCCAGGGGTGCTGCTAACACCCTACCATGCCCAGGACAGCCTGCACAGCCAAGAATGATCTGGACCCAAACACCAACAGTGCCAGGTTGAGAAAGCACGATGTAGTTCCCTCTTCAAGTTTTCTTCTAAGGAAACTTTTTTGTGGACTTACGTATGGAAAATGTTCATCCCTGATATTTTAGTCTTTGGGATTTAGCTGTTCTAAATGTATTTACCTAAATCAAGAAAACTTTTCCATTTTCCTGAACAAAGTATATCTGTAAACTGTACAATTTTTTAAAATTAAGATATATAGAACTCAAATTTGTGTATACTAATACCTTGAGAAGCTTTTAGAGAAGTAGATTTTAAACGTCAGTCTTAAAATTTTTAGCGGGGGGGTCTTCTGCTAAAGGAAGACAGCTTGGGGCAGCACACACACTTGAACATTAAGAAGGCATCCGTGCACCTGAGAAGTACATACAGTCTGGATGGACTCACAGTTTGTCGACTGTCATGTCTCTTTATGTGGGGACCAGCATTCGTGCTACCTTAGCCTCAGTCTCATGAATTGCATCATCACATCAGTCCCTCAGGAACCTTCGACAGTTCCATGTCCACTGCAGAGCTCTTCCAGGAGTGCCACAGTCTGAGGAGCGGCCTCCTTCACAAGTTCCCTCACTTCATGCACAGACCACCATGCAGGGCCTGGTAGCAGCTTGTCCCCTTGGTGTGAGGTCAGATTCAGGTGGTGACCGGGGACTTCAGTTCTCTGTGGATTTGACAGACCTCAGGTAACTGTCCTTGGTCGCCATCAGTGACGGTTTATTCAGAACTGGTGATGAGCTTGATGTAGCTGACACAGGCTGGAAAGGATTCCTGTAGTAAAGGTAAGAGTTGATGGGATTTCTCCAGGTGGGGTTCGGAGAGTTAGTTTGCTGAATCCATGGGTTTTCCGGAAAGCCTTTGCTCTTTTGCAGGCAGGCGTGTCATTTCCTCACGAAACAATATTAATGCAACTGGCAGGTAGAGCTCTATTGCGGTGGGCGTTAGGGGAGAGAGGGCTAGCCTAGGATGGAGGCTTCTGGGAATGTCATTTGGCACACTGGTTTCCTGATATGTCTTCTTTGGCTGATTGACTTTTGTCATTTCATCTTGAGGAGCTGTGATTCACTGAAGGAAGGTGGAAAGGGTTCCTTCCCCACCCGAGGAAGCAGCAACCACATCCCCTCAGTGGAGGAATCCATGAACTGTCCAATTCGGACGGCACGATCCACACGATGTGTGTGGGCAGCTGCAGGCCCTGCTCTGCCCAGGTGAGCACTGGACCTTCCCTGTTGGTTTCAGAGACACGGGCTGCAGAGGTCCCTGCCGTGCTGGGCTCAGCGATGTCCTCCTCCGCCGAGTGGAAGGCCAAGGCTCTGTCTAGCAACTCTACCCATGTCGAGATGTAGGAGAACACAAACTGGGAAAACTCCCTTTATTCCTACCTTTAGGCCTTTTCAAAGGCCTAAATGTATGAATGCTGATTTTTGTCAGGGAAACATTTTTGAGAAATTAGCCTTCTTGGGGCCTGAGGTCTGTCCAGGCGGCCCAAGCTCTCCTGATCTCCTGCCTGCTATCCTGGCGGTTGGGGGCCGTTTTCTCTGGAGACCACGTTGACCACTAAGTCACTTTGAAAGGAGACTGTGTTTTTGCCTTTATTTCCTGATGGTTGTAAGACATCTGTCAAGTGATACTATCCGACTAAGAAATATCTCAAGAATTATAGCAATGACCAACAGCCCCTCTCTAGGCATTAAATGTAACACAGTTTATCCCCTTTAACGCCTCCACCGTTGCAGGCAGATCAGATAAGCATTCCTCCTGTGTGTTGCTTCATTCCCGCTGTAAATTAGTGAAGGCTGCTTTGGTAATTCCTTCTTAAAGAACGTGGGGTTTGTGACTTCAGATCCTTAGTGCTCCTGAGAGGAACACTGGCCCAGCGACACATCCATCTGGAACCCCGGGGAAGGCTGAAGTAAAACGTCTTGGTTTCCCCCTGCATGTCCCAACAGGCTGTGTGTCCAAGGAATCCGGAAGCCTCTGTAAGTCATTTCTGTTGTCACTACTGTCCAGTGTTGGCTGTGACATGGCCCCTGGAAGCCCAACAACGGCAGCCAAACCTGCTGAAGAAACGTGGAGACTTCGTGCTCCCCTCCAAACCAACCTTGAGGTCATTGGCGGGAGGAACCGCAGACTCTCCCGACTCCTGGAAAGGAGCATGTGAAGATTCGGTCTCTTTCCAGAAGTTGTTCCAATGGAAATCATCGTTTTGCACAGGAGATATTCTTGACTGTCCTTCTGGACAGTCTCACGATCTAAATGTTGTCCCTGGTGTCCTGCCTGGTGCTGTTTTCCAGGCAATGGCAGTGGGCAAAGCCTGGCCATTTTCCAGGGTCCAGTCACAGGGGAATCCAGGGCACCATGTTTGGGGGCCCAAGCGCAGAGCCCAGGCCTAAGTGTGTGCAGGTGGTTTCTTTTACAGCTTTACTGAGGAATAACTGACATACAATAAACTTGACAGCACATACTTAAAGGTGTACAGTTTGATGACTTTGAGCGTATGTATCCATCCCTGCGACCATCACCACATTCAGCATAATGAACATACCCATCACCCCCGAAGTTTCCTCCTGCCCCTTTGCAACCCCTCCCTCCCAGTCCTTGAAACACCTCACACACTGTTGCAAAGCCGAGGACAAAAACAGGAAAGCTGCTCTACCCATTCAACAAGTCTGGTACAACCCTGGCTCCAAAACAAGGTAAGGGAATTGTAAGACAATTATAGATCAATTTTACTTTTGGACCTAGATGTGAAAATCCTCAATAAAATGCTGGTTAGTTGAATTCCTCCATTATAGAAAAAATATGACCAATTACAATTGCACCCCAGACTCCCTTTTTTATTCTCCAGTGTGTTATATATTTTTCACTAAATCTATGTTTTCAGTTTCTTAAAATTTTGTGGATCCAATTTATCAATTATTTCCTTCTATGGCTAACTTTCTGCTATCCCATTGCAGTGTGACATAGTGAGGGCCACATGGTAGAAAAGCCTGTTCCCAATCTGTCATCTAAAGACATGGAGCTAAGGGCTGCGCTGCTGTGCAGTAATAAAAATGCTACACAAATGCAGAGCAACAGCTGAGAATGAAGTGTTAGAGCATAAAAGTTCACAAACAAGATGACACTCTGTAGGAGTCCGCATGTGACTGTTAGTTGATAAAACTCAGATGAACCTTTGGCGACTGCCCTCCACCTGCTCCCAACTTCTGTCTGGCCTGTCAGGAAAGGTGTCATTTACTGCTGGGATGATAAGAGAAGCAGGTCTGTGGAAGCCCCCAGCATCCCTGGGAACTCTGGAGTCTTTTCCATCTGCTCATATGCTTTGCTGTCAAACCCCATTTTGCAGAGATCTTTGGAATTGAGCTAATGTACTTCATCACTTGTTACAGCCAACAGGATTCCAAACTGATGTAGTGGAAGAGGTTGCAACTGGGCTCAAGCAGGGTGAAAACCTTCCAGGATGGCCAGCAGAGGAGAGCACCCACTCCACAGTCAAGAGCCAGGGGGAGAGGGACTTCCCTGGTGGTGCAGTGGATAAGACTCCACACTCCCAATACAGGGGGCCCGGGTTCAGTGGGATCACACTGAATCTACAGATATATTTGTGGAGAACTGACATCTTGCCAATTCTCTTCCACCTACCTCTTCCCATCTAGAAACATACTGTATCTATATATTTACTCAGCTACTTCCATTTCTACCACAAATATTTTGCTTTTAGTATAGTAGTAGTTTTCAGTATACATGTTTTGCATATATTTTGTTAAATGCACTCACAAGTATTTTTTTGTTTTTTGATGCTATTCTAAATGGAAGTTTTAAAAATTTATTTTCCAATGGCTTGCTGCTAGCATAAAAAATACTACTGATTTTTATATAATAATCTTGTATTCCATGACCTTGCTAAATTATCTTATTAGTTCTAATAGTTGAAGATACCTTAGGCTTTTGTACATAAATAATCATATTATTTGCAAATGGAGACTATTTTATTTCTTCTTTTCTAATCTTTATGCCTTTTATTATTTCTTTTCCTTGCTTTGGTATACAGTAAAATGTTGAGTGTAAAAAAATCATGAATGAGTACTGAATTTGCCAAATGTCTTTTCTGTATCTATTGAAAAGATTCTTTTTCTTTTTTTTTAAAGCGCAGATTAAAAAGCACCAACTCAAACAAGTTTAGTAAATAGTTTTTGCACAAACATCCACCATTACCTTAGTGCCTCGTGATTCTTGCACAAGACCACCATCTGGCTAGAAGGTGACAGAGACTGGGCTCAGACACAAATCTTTTGAATTTAAAGCTCCTTTTCTTTCACCAGCACCATGGTAACCTCAGACTAGTTGAATATAAGAATTCTCATGATAATGTTTTTAGTTTTTTCCTCTTTATTTTTATGGATAAAATGCAACATACATATTATACTTAACAATGAAACTGATGGGATGAAAGAACATTAACTTTTGAGATGGGAGACAACATAAAAAATTGGCAACCTAGTGACAACATGATTTTTCAATCAAAGCACATAGCTTTAGAAAAGTTGGAAAATGCCTAAAAGATGTTATTTTTAAATTAAGGTGTGTGTGTGTGTGTGTGTGTGTGTGTGTACAACTGTTGAAAATGTTTGAAAGAAACATTTTAATCCATGTCATATTATTTTTATTAAGTGACATATTTATGAAAAAAAAAAGTGGAAAGTGCCTGTCAGAAAACAGAAACTATTCAATCCCGTAATATATATTCCTTTCAGACATGTGATACATTTATGAAAAACAGCTGAAATATGCTTGATAGAAAGAAGTTTAATCTCACGCTACTTTTAGTCAAGTGCAATGTGGGGAAAGCGGTTGAAAATGCATGAAAGAAGATGAAGTGAATTCCTACATTTGAAAACCTGTGATTCAGCACAGTTAAACACACAAGACAATGACTAAGGGACACGGATTCTCTCAGCGTCTACACCACACATCATAGCTACAGAGTATTTGGTTTTAAAGCTTCTGCTAACAATATTTTACATCATTAAATGTATATTATTAAATGTACACTGAAAGCTAACTGAAGTGACTTAAATAATAAGATTCAGGAACAGTTTGTAACAAAAATTGTTAACGTCTGTTATTTTTTTCTCCCAAGAAAGACAAGTGAGGTAGTTTATATTGTATATACATTGTAAAGAGATTAATATTCCAGTTTGTTCAAAGGTCACTCCTTGAACTCACTAAACTCATTGTTCAATGACTCCAAGCATCATATCCCCAAGTGAGCTGTTTAGCAAAGGGATCTTCTTTTGTAGAATGGAGGAAAGAATGAGCCTGTTCTAGCGGGTTTTTTTCTGAATAATTGTTCCTAAAACGTTAACTTTCTCTAATGTTTTCGTAGATATAATTTCCCTAACTGTACACCAAGAGCGCTTGGGAAGAGATGAGGTGGGAAGCTATCAAGAAAAGAATTTAGAAGCCCAGTATCTGACTCTTCTTTTGTTTGCAGATATACTATTCATGTTTGCTTTTACACTATTCACTGTTACAGATTACTGTAACTATTTTAAAAAACAATTCTTCATAAGGCAAAGACAGTTTTTTCAACACTTAGGTGACCAGCAATTTTGAGTTTTAATTGTAGGGGTTTGTTTATTCATTAAGAATAAAATTATTCATTAAGAATAAGATTAGTAAAAAAAAAAAAAGTAAAAATTAGTAAAAAGAACTTCTTTAACCACACAAAAATTAGTTTGTGTGTCTACTGGAAATTCTTCCCTAATCAGTTTGTTAACTTGATGACTAAAAATTCAGGTTATATCCAATGATATTGGTATTGACGTGGGCTTCCATATCATATAGTTATTTGAAAGTTGTCACACAACCCTGGATGCACTGAAGTGATTAAAGTTATTGACTGGGCTAAGCCTTTGACATCTAAAACCACACAAAAGTGGATAAGAAATTCAGAAACTTAGTTTTTTTTTAATCTGTCATCTGTTAGCCATTTATTTAAAACTAATGACTAATGAAGTAAATCTTAAAACCTTTAGAACTTATGCATCTGTCCTAATGTGTTTTCAGTCAAAAGAAATAAAAAAAATTCCCAAATAAAAAATTAAATGGATAGATCTGTGAATTTTCTAAACACAACAGAATATATTCTAAATGATAGGGAATTCAGTGAGAAAAATCATTGTTTTAATACATACACAGAAGTGTAAGGCAGCTAATTTGAAGAATTTCTTCCATGTATGTGGGCATAAATTACAGCCATCTTATGTCTTGGACCTTAGCAACAACATGAAGTAAAATTTTGTTTGAATTGCAAAAATGATAACGGCATTTTCTCAGACCCTCAAAGTTCATTATGTAAACTCACATGCCGTCAATTAGCCATACATTGAAAACTGATGAAATGTAGGAATAAATAAATATAAACCAACAGAACACATGTTTATCTTCTAATGGGTTTTCAGGCAAAGGAAATAAAAAATTCTCAAATAAGCAAATAAAATGAATGGATATTTGAGTTTTCTATAAAAATATAACAAAATTCTAATGGCCAGAAATGCAATTATCTACATGTTGAATATAAATTATGTTTTTATAGATATCAAGGCATAATGAGCATGTAAAAGTATAGGCTTAAATTATTATCACATTTTGTTTTGAGACTTGGTAAGTAGATTAAATGTATTCTGCATTGGTGAGCAACTTTGTCTATTGTTTGATTTGCAAGAGAGAGTCATTTGGGCGTTAAATCTCATTAAAACTGGTGTAAATTCATCAAAATCTCAATCTAATTAGATTCTACTCCAAAGCACATACATGGGATAAATGAGACCTCTGTCCCCATTTCTAACCAACTCTAGAACGACTATACTGCAGTCTCCAAATGAAAGGCAGGGCTGTCCAACCCCCCAGCAAATTTCAGATTTGCTCTCAATTAGAATCATGAATTGTGCTTTCTCACCAACTGCAGGTCTGGAAAATGGCTCCGTGGAATCTTGATAGCGAGGCAGTTTTCAGCTCACCAAACATTCATCTGATTTTAAAGCCTGATGCTAATCCACAGTGCTTGGCCAAGTCTATGATTGATGAACAGAAACAAAACCTGTTTTTACAGCATATAAAATCTGGATATAACAGTACTTTTCAGCACTCTTGAAGAAAGAGCAGTTGGACAAAGGCAGTTGGGCAGTTTAAAACTGGGGCTGCAGAAGTGATTCTCTACAGCTGTGAAATATAAAAAATGATATGTTTGATGAGGAAAGGAAATCTGTGCCTGGCACATGGAAAGCTATTCACTGAGCACCATATTCACGATGAGGAAATAGGGGCCCTGTGACCGCTGACTACACCAAAGGTTATGGAAGCACAGGAACAGCCCTTGTCAACCTAACCTTAACTATGGGGACCTGTGCTCATAAGAGAACAAGCTTTAAGAATGTCAGTTTTCAACAGCCCAAGATAGGGAAATGTTCATTTGCACCAGAATGCAGACAGCCACAATACAGTACAGCATACATAACAACACAGTGGTTTTTAAATAGAAGGTTCTCCTCCTCCAATTCAGAAGCAAGTCAGAGCATAAACATTGTTTGTGTGACTCTGGAAACTGATTCTCTTTGGAAAGTAGATCTAAATCATTTTTCAGAGCAGAAATTTTTGTTATTTCTGGCATCCTTGTTCAAAAATGTCTATATATATATAACATAAGTATAAAAAAAAAAAGTCTTTTCCACCTCTTGTGTTTGGTAGCATTTGCTACATCAAGAAGTGCTTCTTATCCCCAGGTAGAGGACCAAGTTCATTTCTGCTGTGAAGTCAAAGTATTAGAAATGATTAGAGTTCCATATTCTATATTGGCCTTTCTTCTGGAAGGATCACATCCTCTTTCCTTCACTCTTATCAAAGAACCATCATGAGAAAGCTGCAGCTCAAATGGTCAACCAGTTCCTCTTCCACAATTCGTGTTGACACCAGTGGGAGACACCAGTTGGGCTGAGAAACACCAAGAGGGTTCTAGGAACAAACATGTCAAAAGCAGTCTTGTTTTTCCCTACCAAATGTAGGACTTCTTGGCAGGTAATGCACGATAGCTGCCATCTTGGGGGGTATTTCAAACACTTGGTTGGGGTTTAATCACCCATTCTGCCTGGGGATTTACATGATATACATCCAATATATAAGCCTCTGGATCCAAGCAGTGCTGTCCTAAAAGAAAGAAAAATCAGAGTATGTTTTCAAAAGTGCACACTTCCGTGCATGTGTGTGCATGTGTGCATGTAAGTGTGTTTGCAAGGCTCAAATAAGGCCAGTATAGTTCCCTCAGCCAAAAATAAATACATTTTAAAGTTTCCTAGCAAAGCCAGCCTTCCCCCCCTCTTTTCTTTGCTTCTTTCTGACTGTGAAGTACTTCAAATAAATCCCACGTGACACTGGGGAGCAAACAGACACGCTAATCACAAGCAAACTGTTCCCTAGACTCACTACATCAATTAGAAAAATACGACAAGAACCTGTTTCAGGTATCAATTCATTTATATGATAATGAGCACTAGTGATCATTTAGATGACAATACATGTCCTCTAACGGTTTTATAGATAGAAACTTGACCAGGACTAGACACTAATATCAAGTTCATTTTAGGGAAGGTCATTTCATTTTTCCTGTGGGCAGGAGATCTGGAATTGATAACAACAAAAAGATCATTCCATGGGGGCAAATACATTTGAAAATTCTTATGTACAGTGTGTTCGAAATGTATACTAAAGTCTCAAACAAAAGTAGCAATATTTAATTGCTTGCCTGATTCATTCATTCATTTCTCAAATATTTCTTGAGTTATTATGTGCCAGGCACTATTGTACGGGCTGAGGCTACAGCAATGCATCAGACAGTCAAAAATACTTGCCCTTGGGATGCTTACGTTCTAAAAGTGGTAAAAGGCAACTAGCAAATAAGCAAGTATGTTAGAAAGTAAGTCTGATGGTGATAAGAACATGAGAGAACAAGAAATTGGGGAAGGCGCAGAAAGAGGGTCCAATCCAGGAAGGTCTCACTGAGAAGCTGATACAGCGGCCAACACCTGACAGAGGTAAGGGAGTGAGGAGGGAACCATCCAATGGAAAGCAACCAGGGCAAAAGTCAAAGCAGATGTGAAGGCCCAGGGCAAGACGTGCTGGGGACTGGATATGAAAGCTGGTGTCCAGGGGAGTCTGCACGTGATGTTGAGAGATGGCAGCATCCAGGTGCCTTCAGAGCAATGAGATGCACTAAGTTCACCATGGCAGGTAAGTGCAGACAGAAGTTCCAGTGCTCCGAGGTCGAGAGGATGAGAAGTAACAGGCCGAAGAGACTCAGAAGGAGCAGCCTGTGAAGTGGGGGGAAAGCCAGGAACTTAGGGGGTCCTTGAAACCAGGTGAAGAGAGTGTTTTCTTAAAGAAGGGAAAGATCAACCCAGGCAGTTGTAAAGATAAAATGAAGCACTGGATTTCACAACAGAAGAGTCCTCTGGTGACCTCGACCAAAGAGCAATTCTGAAGTGTTGAGGGGTAAAGCTTGACTGGAGTGCCTTCAAGAGAGAAGGAGAGGAAGAAACTGGAGTATATACACAAATGATCCAAGGAGTTTTTGCTATAAATGGAGCAGAGAAATGGGAGTAGACTTGAAGGGGGTCAAGAGAGAGTTTTGTGGAGATGAGAAAAATTACCAAACTGTTTAAGCAGAGAGAAATGGTGTGGTTGGGAGGGAAAAGCTGATGACAGAGGAGAGGATGGGAGACTGACCAAGCCCTCGTCCACAGGAGGGAGGCGCCACCCTAAACAGGAGCACAGGTATTTCATCCCAACTGTGAAGGGGGACAAGAGGAAGGTAAGGACACAGAGCCACGTGGACGGAATTTTCTTTTCATTCCTTTCTGTCCCCCTTCAGGGGAATAGGAAGAATGAATCTGGACTGAGAGTTGAGCAGGAAGTTCAACACAAAGGATGTCGAGATGATGAAAGTGCCACAATTTCTCCTTTCGTTTGCATGAATCTCCAGACTCTCCAACTTTCAGAGTCACATTTAAAAGACTCAAAAATCTACTCCACATCGACTAAACTATTTACATTTAAAATTTGAAAATATTTTAGGAAAGTCATACTGTTCTTATGTGAGATTTAAAAAATCTGACACAGTGATTTTGATTTTCTATCTAAAGAAATTTGTAAAGTACAGTTTTACAATAATAGCAGCATATTTCTTTTAGAGTAATCAGAGAATGTAGGAGTAAAAACATTAAAGAATGCTTACCTATATTACCTCCAATTTCATATAATCTTTGGTTCTGGATCTTAATGCCTTCCGATGAACCATGACTGAGAAAAGAAGAAAGCAATATAATTTAAACCCTCCTCTGTGATCTGGGGTAAACCTGTGGATTAAATAATCATGGCAACAAACAATCATTCTGCCTTGAGTGAAATACACCACACAAATCATTATTATGACTGAAGTGATGATAAAATCTTTTTTTTTTTGTTTGACACAGACAAGCATCTGAGGCAGAGAGGAAGCTGGACACCGCCAGGCTTCACGGCCACCCCAGCCCTTCCATCCACCACTGTCAGCTCCTCTTAAGAGAGGACACCTTATTGACACATCAAGGCTGGCCAAGGAGCAGCTGGATGTTTAACATTGCCTTGTCATGGGCCACATTACTCTCAGTTCAAAAGCCATCAGGTTCTATTTCTGTATTTGCCAAAAATTGAATGAGATTCTTTCCTCAGCCCATGGCACATTTCTAAGCTTGCCCAGTGCTTTGTAAACTAACGTTGACTTTGTTGCATGTCTCTGCCCTATAATGAAAGCAAGTCAGAGAAAATAATTGTCCAATTTTAATCTTCCATCCCAGACTAGGCTGCCGGGACAGAAGAGTCTGGAAAGACCATCGCTGAGCTCCTGCCCACTAGAACTGTCAGCTTGGTTACTCAAAAAGATGGTCTTCGGCTCTCTGCTGTGAGGGAGAAGGACGTGCACCCTCTTTGTTTAATTAAACATTTTATTTGAGATAGTTGTAGATTTGCATGTGGTTATAAGAAAATATACAGACACATCCTTGTGTACTCTTTACCTAGTTTCCCCAATAGTAAAATCTTCCAATACCCTAGTGTGATGTCACAGCCAGAAGCGCCACATGGATTCTGTCAAGGTACAGAACATTTCCTTCCCCACAAGACTCTTCTTGTTCTCCTTATAGCCACACCCACCTCCCTCCCCCTGTCCCCATCCTCCACCCCTTATCCCTGGATTCTACATTTCTATAAACTTGTCATTTATAGAAACGTTATATAAATGGAAACACACAGTATGGAACATTTTTGTAGTGGCTTTTTTTTTTCCAGTCAGCGTAGATCCCGGGAGATTCACCCAGGCTGCTGCATTTTTACTGCTGCATAGCACATGTGATATGGATGGACCACGGCCTGTTTAGTCATTTACCTGTTGAAGGACATGGGTTTTTTCTTTTCCAGTGTTCGACTATTATAAATAAAGCTGCTATAAGAATTTGTGTACAGGTTTCTGTGTAAACATAATCTCCATTTCTTTGGGATAAATGCCCAGGAGTGTGAATGCCACATCACACGACAGATGCACATTCAATTTTATAAGAAACTGTCAAACTGTTCTACAGAGTGACTAGACCATTTTACATTCCCACCACCAATGTATGAGTAATTCAGTTTTTTTGTATCTTCACCTGTACTTGGTGTTGTCATTATTATTACTTTTTAGCCATTTTCATAGGTGTTTAATATGTCATCGTGGTTTTGTATTTCCCTAATGGTTAAAAATACCGAACATCTTTCCATGTGCATATTTGTCATCTGTATATCTTCTTCTGTTCATGTCTTTTGTCCATTTTCAAATTGGATTGTTTGTTTCTGCACTGTTGAGTTTTGAGTGTCCTTTATACATTCTAGATACTAGTCCTTCGTTTGATACGTACTTTATAAATATTTTCTCCAAGTCTTTAGCTTGTCTTTTCATCTTTTAAACAGGGTCTTTCAGTGTATAAGTTTTCAATCTTGATGAAGTCCAAGTTACCAATTTTTGTTTCGTATGAGTCATACGATGTCAAGTTTAAGAAGTTCTTCACTAGTCCCCTATCACAAAGGTTTTCTCCTATGTTATTTTCTAAAAGTTTTATCCAGTTGCAGAAGATCTCCTCTTTTCCTAAATTTGCTGAGTTTTTATCATGAATTGGTGATGGATTTTGTCAAATGCTTTTTCTATATCATTTAACATGATCATATGATTTTTCTCCAACTGATATGATGGATTTACAGTAATTGATTTTTGAATGTTAAACTAATCTTGCATACCTGAACTAAATCCCACTTGTTCTAGGTATAATTCTTTTAATATACTTTGGATTATATTTGTTGAGGGCTTTTGTATCTAAGTTCATGACAGATATTAGTCTGTAGTGTTTGTTTTGTATTATTTTGGTCTGGTTTTGGTATCGAGGCAATACCAGTTTCCATGATCACTCTCCTCAACCTCTAGCAATCACTCACCTACACTGCATTTCTAAACTTTTGTCATTTCAAAAATGTTATATAAATGAAGTCTTGCAATATGTAACCTTTTTTTGCTCAACATGGCTACTCCTTTTCAATATGATTGGAAAGTTGCTTTTAAAGAATATCCATCAGTTGTACGAGAGACCATCAAACTGTACCTGCTTTAGCATGGTTAGATTTAAACTAGTGCTTCTCATCTTTTTAAAAAAACCTCGGGGCAAATGTTTATCCCTGAATAAGTATGCCTGTACAAAAATTATCACGATTTATGCTCTTTAACGTGACTTAAGGCAGATATGCAAAAAATATTTTCTCAACATCACTCTGATCCTAAGGTTTATTGGTAGTAGGTTTTAGGGAGACCAACAGCTATGATGTTCACTCAACTACATAAACTCTACTTGATATAGTCATGTTAAAGCCCAGTGGAGCCTGGAATAATGATATTCCTAGAAATCTATCAAGATATCTACAAAACTAACTTGCTAATTTTTTTATTCAAATAAAAAGTAAAACCAATTGAGTAAATGAAGACACATTTACAGAAGATACCTATTTTAGAATCCCAATTGTAGAAATTCCTTGAAAAAAAACTTTTGTTACTGATAATTCTATGGTCTACTTAACTTCTTTCTCTACTTCTGATTCTTTATTTACTGGTGAAGTCCTTAAAGTAACAGGTTCTAAGTTTTCAAAAAGGTCAAATTTTCAAATGCCTGGAGTTTCTCATCAGATAAAAGTTCATCTTCCTGTACAGAGACTCATATTCACTTCTACTCACCTGTTCTCATATTGAAATTTCGCCAATATGTCTTTGGCTTTGGTTTGACTGTTGAGTTGAATGGCCATGGACACCTTGGAGAGAAGGGGCGCGTGGATCCTTATGACTCCCTCTGGCACGTCAGACTGCCAAGGAGGAAACATGCGGTACATTCTGTTAAACTCAATGATTACACTTAAGAGACATGAAAATCAGTGGCATTCCAAATTAGGGAAACATGTAAACATGACCAGGATTTAACCAGAATGAAACATTGCTTTCTTCCTAACATGAGATTTACTAATGACTAAACTTAATCTGGGATTTTACTTTTGTTACAGGCTTAGGTCTCACTATAATGCCTTAAAATCATGAGGGAAGAAAACTGGGTTGTGTTCATTGCAGCACTATTTACAATAGCCAGGACATGGAAGCAACCTAAGTGTCCATCGACAGATGAATGGATAAACAAGATGTGGCACATATATACAATGGAATATTATTCAGCCATAAAAAGAAACAAAATTGAGTTATTTGTAGTGAGGTGGATGGACCTAGAGTCTGTCATACAGGGTGAAATAAGTCAGAAGGAGAAAAACAAATACCGTATGCTAACACATATATATGGAATCTAAAAAAAAAAAAAGGTTCTGATGAACCTAGGGGCAGGACAGGAATAAAGTCGCAGATGTAGAGAATGGACTTGACACAGGGATAGGGAAGGGTAAGCTGGGACGAAGTGAGAGAGTGGCATGGACATATATACACTACCAAATGTAAAATAGATAGCTAGTGGGAAGCAGCTGCATAACATAGGGAGATCAGCTCGGTACTTTGTGACCACCTAGAGGGGTGGGATAGGGAGGGTGGGAGGGAGACGCAAGAGGGAGGGGGTATGGGGATATATGTATGCATGCAGCTGATTCATTTTGTTACACAGCAGAAACTAACACACCATTGTAAAAAAAATTATACTCCAATAAAGATGTTAAAAAAAAAATCTGGGTTGCGACAAAAATCTAATGTTTTTATCAGTGCATTTTCTTGAACAATGTCCTAAATAAGCCTACTTGAAGTAGGATTCTGTATTTCAATTTATTTTAAGAAGATCAACCTTCTGAAAAATTTAAGGATCTAATTGAAAAATGTGGCTTTTCAAATATCCTTTTTCTTTAGTCAGTAGCAATGAACGGTCACTCCAAATTGAATTCCAGATGGGCACCAAACTTGATCCTTCAAAGTGTCCTATTAACACTGTGAAGAATGGAATGTGGACAGCTGTTGGGGAAGAGTGTCCCTGCTTTCAGGTGCTCTGATGGGCTTGGGGACCTCAGAGCTCTCATCTAAATGAAATATTCAAAGAATGGTGCTGTCTAATTAACAATAAAGTCTCTTTTGTTAGAATTGAATGGAAAATTCCTTTTGTTTCAAAATCTTGAATGTTTTAAAAATTAATTCTCTATTTGGAGATAAGCAGAAATAAATTTCTATTTGAGGATCTGGCTACTCTTCAGGTAATTGTTTTAAATCTGTGTTCTCAAGGGACAATACTGTTGGTGTAGTTTTATGTGAATTGACTCAGTATATCCCCTAGAAAAAATGTGTTATGGATTGAATTGTGTCCTCCCTCCCGCCCCCCACCAAATATGTTGAAGCCCTAAGCCCAGGACCTCAGAATATGACCTTTTTTGGAAATAGGGTCATTGCAAATGTAATTAGCTAAGACGAGGTTCAAATTGGAGCACGGCGGGCCCTTAATCCAATGTGATTGGTGTCCATATAACAGGACACACACACACACACACAGGGTGAATGCCATACAAAGATGGAGGCAGAGATTGGAGTGATGCATCATCTGTAGGCTAAGGAAGGCCAAGGACTCCTGGCGTCACCCAAAGTTAAGAATGATGTCAGAAACACATCCTCCTTTCACGACCTTCAGAAGGAACCAACTGAATCAACACCTTGATTTCGGAGTTTTAGCCTCCAGAACTGTGAGAGAGTAAATTTCTATTGTTTTAATCCACCCTGGTATTGTTACTGCAGCACTAGGAAACTACTTTTTAAGGGTCAGTTCTAACAGTACTTTTCTACTATTACCTGCGAGAAGCAGAAGAGCATGCCAGGGAATGGCAGTGAGTGGTTTAGAGCTGGGAGGGGGCAGGGAGCCCCTGGTTCACTGCAGTCAAAAGCACCCTCCCAAAACACTCCTGTGGGCATCTCACGTCCCTCCCCTGCCAGCTCCACAGAAGACTCTTAAGATAAATTTCACACTCCTGATATCATTGAGCCAGTTATAATGATCACATTTTCCCTCTAACTTTCTAGAGTATTCACTCTTGTGAACAGAATGTCTAACCACAAATTCTGAGTCATCAATTAGTTGAGTCCTTATACATTCCTTCATGTGCTACACTGAAAATGTCAAGTTTGAAGGTGTATCATGAGCAAAATTATACACAGATAAGGTGGATATAGCCAAAGAATACTGTGTAAGGAGTTAATAATTAGGGAGGAAAGGAAATGATTTGTTTTCTTACCATTCTTCTTGTAGAGGGTGATTTTTGTAGTACCTTTGAAGTCTTGGGGCTTATAACCTAAATAAAAAACATTTAGTCTTTAGGATTAACGTTGAGAAAACAAGCATATGCTGCTGTTGGAAGTGTAAACAGGTACAATCTTTATGGATAACATTTTGGCAATATTTATCAAATTATAAAATGCATATGCACTCTGACCCAACAATTTTACATCTATAACTTTATCCTTCAAATAGACTTCATTTGTGAGAAATGACATATGAACATGTTTATTCACCGATGCATAAACTTTAATAGCAAAATATTGGACACAATCTAGCTGTTCGATGATACGGAAATACTTAAATAAGTTTCAGTGTGTCTATGGAATACCATGCAAAAGAAGCAAAGAAGACGACTGTGGACTGATGTGGAATAATCACCATGATTTCATAAGTCATTAAAGAAGATGCAGGACAGTGTTTCAAGTATGTTATCATTCATGTAAAAAAAAGGGGGAAGCCATATATTCATATTTGCTTGTATGTCATAGTGCCTCTCTGGACACATATGTACCTATGTGTTCCTGTGCACACACATGCTGTCATTGGTTGTTGACATTACTTGTCTTCAGGAGGGGAAGTCAGAGATGGTCAACTTTTATTCTATAGTTTTTCCCCTTCCAATATTTTGAATTTTGTAAAGTGTCAATGAATTGTCTATTCCAATCAAAGTCAGGAAGTAAAAACATGGTATAGTACAACAGAACTGAAGAAAGACTATTTCTTCATCTGTAAGCGCTTGCTTTCATGGTACTTATAGCCTTTTAAAATTTTACTTAGTTCTATTTATAATTAAAACATTAAAGCAACTGACATTCATATAGCATGATACAGTTGACCCAGTGCTTTACACCCACATTCTGTGAGTTGATGCTAATGACAACTCTGTGAAATAGATATCATTACTTTTTTCCCCAAATTGAAAATGTTTTTTAAAAATTTTGTTGGAGTATAGTTACTTTACAGTGTTGTGTTAGTTTCTACTGTACAGCAAAGTGAATCAGCTATATGTATACCCATGTCCCCTTTTTTTAAATTTCTTCCCCATTTAGGTCACCACAGAGCATTGAGCTCCCTGTGCTATACAGTAGGTTCTCATTAGTTATCTATTTTACACATAGTATCAATAGTGTATATATGTCAATCCCAATCTTCCAATTCATCACAACCCCCCATCCCCCTTGGTATCCATACGTTTGTTCTCTGCATCTGTGTCTCTATTTCTGCTTTGTAAATAAGATCTTCTATACCAATTTTTTCATATTCCACATATATGCGTAAATATACGATATTTGTTTCTCTCTTTCTGACTTACTTCACTCTGCATGACAGAATATTGAGGCTCTGAGAAAGACTTTAATTTGCCCTGGCTCACAAAGACTGACCTGACCCCAGCTTCAGCTCCACACACATCATACTTAGGCCGTTGAAGTTTTCCAGAATGAAAATGGCAGAGTAAGGACTCCAAAAGTCTATCCCTCCATAAAAGTAATGAACAAACTGCCAAAAACTGTCATTGTCAACTTCTTCAGAACTCTGGAAACTAACCCAAAAGTTGCAGCCTGGGGAGTGCTTAAGAAAAACAGCTGAATCTTGATAAGAGTGAACTTTGTGGCATTTTAACTTACACTTTCCCATCTCAGCTCCACAGTTCAGTGACAGCCTTAAAAATAACAGCCTGCATTCCTGGTATAGGTACTGAAGGGAGCAGAATGGACCTCATTCACAAAAAATTCTAATTATTTGTTCCCTGGAACACTGGCTTGCCTTTAACTTGCCTAACTTGGAACCTGACCAGTGCTAAAGTGGTGTAATGTTGAAAACATTTACAGGCAAATGTTTTAATCACTGCTGCCTGATGCAGTGGGTAAGAGTTGGGGGAAAAAATAACTAACTAAAAATCTTGGGAGGCAAGCCTAGAGAATGAGATGCTTTGGGGAATAAGGTCTTTGAAAAGCTCCAACATATACCTGAGAATCTAGAAGGACATGGGCATGCCCAGGGCTGTACACATATTCAGGAAAGACCTGAAAAGAACTTAAGCTCTCACCTCTGGCTGACCTTTAAGCTCTGTCCAAACAGGAACTGAAGGTTCAGGTCAAGTTGTAAACTGCCTGGCTGAATACTGAAGGTGTGTCAAGCACACAAACACACAGAGCTCGTCTGCAAAGACTGGGAGAATTTTTTGGTTTCAGATATTTAAGACAATCTCTGTGCAAACATCAGCTAACCACTAGGCTAATGGAACAGAGACTTCAGTAGCCACACTAAACAAAGAATATAGACATAACAAAATTAGTTCAGCAGAAAAGTCATGAACAAATAAATAACAGCTATAACAAGCAGAAACCAGGGGGAGGGGGAAGAATCCAAAGCTGCCACATTTTAACATTCAAAATGTCCATTCTTCCATAAAAATTATGAGACAGGCAAAAAAAATGGCAAGAAAATATGGCCCGGACTTCCCTGGTGGTACAGTGGTTAAGAATCCGCCCGCCAATGCAGGGGACATAGGTTTGAGCCCTGGTCCAGGATGATCCCACATGTCGCAGAGCAACTAAGCCCGTGCGCCACAACTATTGAGCCTGCGTGCCACAACTACTGAAGCCTAGAGCCCGTGCTCTGCAACAAGAGAAGCCACTGCAATGAGAAGCCCGCACAGTGCGACAAAGAGTAGCCCCCGCTCGCCTCAACTAGAGAAAGCCCTCATGCAGCAACGAAGACCCAACGCAGCCAAAAATAAATAAATTAAATAAATTAATTAAAAAAAAAAGAAAATATGGCCCATACACAGGAAAAAAAAAGTTAGTGTCAATAGTTTCAAAAGAAACTCCTTAAGGAAGCCTAGACATTGGACGTACTTGAAAAAGCTATTTTAAGTACTTTAAAAGAACTAATGGAAACTGTGTCTAAAAAAAACCATGAGAATGATATCTCACCAAATAGAGAATATCAAATAAAGAGAATACATCATAAAAAGAAACCAAAAAGAAATTATGGAGCTAAAAAAAGTCCAATTGAAATGAAAAGCCTACTACAGAGGTTCAACAGCAGATTTAAGAAAGCAGAAGAGGGAATTCCCTGGTGGTCCAGTGGTTAGGACTCTGCGCTTTCACTGTTGAGGATCTGGGTTCAATCCCTGGTCAGGAACTAAGATCTCACAAGCTGCACGATGTGGTCAAAAAAAAAAAAAGCAGAAGGAAAAAATCAGCAAATCTGAAGATAGGTCATTTGAGGTTATCCAGTCTTGAAACAGGAAGAAAAAAAAAATGAAGAAAAATGAACAGAACCTAGAGGAACTGTGGAACAACACCAGCACACCAACGTACACACAGTTAGAGTTCCAGAAGGAGTAGAGAGAAAGGAACAGAAAGAACGTTTGAAGGAACAATGGCTGAAAACTCCCCAAACTTGCTGAAAGACAATGATCTATGTATCCAAATAGCTCAACAAACTCCAAATAGGATAAAATCAAAGAGGTTCTCACCAAGAAACATCATGATCACACTGTCAAAAGACAGACATAAAGAGAGAACCTTGAAAGCATTAAGAGAAAAATCAATTCAAGTATAAGAGCTCCTCAATAATAATAGCTGATCTCCCAGCAGAAACCATGGAAGCCAGAAGACAGTGGGGTGACATATTAAAATTGTGAAAGAAAAAAAAAAATTACTGACAAGCAAAATTCCACCTGGCAAAACAGTCCTTAAAAAATGAAGACTGGGAGTTTGGGGTTGGTAGATGCAAACTATAACATTTAGACACTCCCTTGATAAGCAAAAGCTGAGAGAGTTCACTGCTAGCAGACCTACCTTAAGAGAAATGCTAAAGAGAGTCCTTCAAACTGAAATGAAAGGACACTAGACAGTAACTCGAATCCACATGAAGAAATAAAGAATATCAGTAAAGGAAATTACTTAGGAGAATATAAAAGGCAATATAATGTATTTTTTGTTTATAACCTCACTTTTCCCTTATCTAATGTAAAAGACAAGTACATGACAATTATAAATTTATGTCGACGGGCACACAATTTATAAAGCCGTAATATGCAGCAATAACAGCATAATGTGGGGGGACAGAAGAATATAGGTAGAAAGCTTTTATATACTTAAGGTATATTAATATGAACTAGATTGTTATAAATTAAGATGTTACTTATAATCCCCAGGGCAACCACTAAAAAGATGATTCAAAAATATATAGTAAAAAACAACAACAAAAGAATTAAAGTGGTACACAAGAAAATATCTATTTTACACAAATGAAGGCAGTAATGGAGAAACTGAGGATTAAAACATGTAAGACATATAGCCCAAAATTAAATAACTGAAGGGAAAAATAGAAAGCTCTACAATAGTTGGAGACTTCAATACTTCACTTTCAATAATGGATAGAAGAAGTAGGTAGAAGATCAGAAAGAAAACAGAAGACTTAGACAACACTATCAACCAACTAGATATAACAGACATATATAGGACAATGACAGCAGAATCCATTCTGAAGTACACATAAAACACTGTCCAGGATAGACAGTATGTTAGACCACAAAACAAGTCTCAGTGAAGTTTAAAATATCAAAATAATACAAAGTATGTTACATAACCACAATGGAATAAAATTAGAAATCAGTAACAAAAGGAAATTTAGAAAATTTACAAATATGGAAATCAAACAACACATACCTAAATAACCAATGGACCTAAGGGAAATTAGAAAAGACCTTGAAATGAACAAAAATGAAACACAACACACCAAAACTTACTGGATGGAGAAGTAGTGCTCAGAGGAAAATTTATAGATGTAAATGCCTACGTTAAAAAGAAAGATCTCAAATTAATAGCCTAACCTTCCGCCTTAAGAAACTAAAAAAGCCAGCTAAACTCAAAACAAGCATAAGGAAGGAAACAATACAGATCTGAGTTTTAATAAGGACTAGAGAATAACAAAAAACTAGAGAAAATAATGAAACAAAAGTTGGCTCTTCAAAAAGACCAATGAAATGGACAAACCCTTGGTTAGATTGACCAAGAAAAGAGAGAGGATTCAAATTATTCATCAAGAGTATAACTGGGGACATTACTACAAATCTTATACAAATAAAAAGGATTATAAGAGAATACTATGAACAATTTGTATTTCAACAAATTAGATAATCTAGCTAAAACAGATAAAATCCTAGAAACACACAAACTGTCAATACTAACTCAAGAAGAAATAGAAAATCTGAATAGAGCTATAACAAGTAAAGAACTTAAGTCAGTAACCCCCCCCCCAAAAAAAAATTCCTCCAGAGAAAAGTCCAGGAACAGATGGTTTCACTGGTGAATTTTACCACACATTTAAAGAAGAAGTAACACTAATCTTTCTTAAACTCTTCCCAAAAATTGAAGAGGAAGGAGCACTTCCCAACTCATTCTATAAGGCCAGTATTACCCTGATACCAAAGCCAGACAAAGACATAGCAAGAAATGAAAAACTACAGACCAGTGTCCCTTATAAAAGTTGATGCAAAAATTCTCAACAAAATACTAGAAAGTCAACATAGAGTTGCCATATGACCCAACATATGCCCAAGAGAAATGCAACACAAATGAAAAATAAGAAGTGAAATACTGATACATGCTACAACATGGATGAACCTTGAAAACATTATGCTAAGTGAAAGATGTCAGACATAACAGGCCACATACTACATGCTTCCATTTATATGAAATGTCCAGATAGGTAAATTCATAGAGCTAGAAAGTAGATAAGAATGTGTCAGGGATTGTGGGGAGGGGGTAATGGGGAGTGAATGCTTAATTGGTACGGGGTTTCTTTTGGGGGGTGGTAAAGATAGTCTGGAATTAGATAGTGGTGATGGTTGCACAACTTTGTGAATATACTAAAAGTATATACTAAAATTTATACATTTTGAAATAGTTAAAATGGTAACTTTTATATTATGTGAATTTTTTCTCAAAACAAAATTTTTTTTCCCAAATTTAATGTGCTGGTTCTAGTTGATCTGAAGTCACTTTGCCTATAATCAATGAGGGAACACAGCCATTCAGCCTGTTTGTGATAAATCAATTAGCAATACTCCTACCTTACTGCCTTGGGATTTACTATTCCTTTCCCTGAATGAACTTTCCCCTCCTTTCTCCCTTCCAAATGCTACTACCCATCCTTGAAGATGCAGCTCAAATGCCACTTCCTCCGTGAAGTCTGCACACTTTCCACGTTGGAGCACATTTCTTTCTCCTCAGCATGATTCCCAGCACACTGTCTGTACGACACGTTTCACACTGAATGCATATTCATGGCTCTTGTGTACATTTCTCTACCAGATATTTCTCTACTAGATATACGTTCCTTTAAGGACAAAGTGAGTTTCCTGTATCTCTACATCCTCAAGGCCAAATGCTATGCCTCACGATCATCCTCAAATTAAAGCAATAAAGATAATTCTAAAGCCTGTTTCCATTATCCATCTCCACACAGACAACCGCGCTAAGGCAAACATTCTTTGAAATGTAATGAATTTACACAAAACAACTTGAGGATTACATATTCTTTTAGTATCCAATCACTACAGAAATCTCTATCTCTACTTATTAGATATATTGACTACTGGATTGCCCTTAAATCCAGTTCACAGGGACTGAAATGTTGACTTTCAGCATTTGTAAGAACCATTTTGCCCTTAAGTAATCTTCATGACAGAGATAACTCAAAAACTTCAACTGCAAATCACATAATTCAACAAAATGTAAAGATCACAGTACTCTGTCATGAACACAATTTCCACAATGTTTATAGTTACAAGACTGACACTTTATAAGAATATAACAATTTTGGTTCTAAATTACAAGCTACTTTGTGCATCACTGTGAGAAATAAGAGCCTTGGGTGGCCATGATATTTGTGCATTTATTTAGTTATTACCCCTCGTTCTATGGTCTTCCTCCTTAGCAGCTTTTTGACACTTGGAAGCTGTTTCTTTAACAACATGGTGGCTTCATTCATTCTTCTGACTTGAGCGATTAAGAAAGATGGAACCTGGAGAAGAAACAGAGCTTGACTAGAAGGAAAACACTTGAGTTAAACCTCCCTGGTAGAGTCTGTCTTCTGGCCACTCAGTATCCAGGAACCAGGAACTGTGGTTCTGTCCTCATAAAGATTAGGAAAATCTATGAGGATTCCTGTTGAAAGGAAAATGTGTTCGGGAGCAGCCTTAAGGAATGATAAAGATGCCACCAGCAACCTGGGATTACTGTCTCCCACCTCTCCCTGTGCCTGAGGGCAGTGCTTGCTCATGAGTCTTTACATCTCCTGGGCGCTAGCAGACATGAGAACATCCTAGTCGTCACACTGTCACTCACCTTCCACAACATCTCCTGGTACTTTAGCATCAAGCGGATGATGTGGGCAGCGGTGTTTGCTAAGAGTAATTCTTCACAGTCAGAATGTTTGCTTCTACTGAAGAAAAGATTTGGTGCCATTATGGTAGAAATGTTCCATATACTCATTCGGTTTTTTGATTCGTTGGCAATGACTTTATTGAAGAATGTCATGAGGGCCTGATAGGAAACAGCACAGTGTCACCCGAGTCATTGTAAATTAGGAAAAGGCATCACTGATTACTATCACTCATTTCCATACCCGTTCACTGGGCCTCTGGAAAATTGTCAGAGCTACAGAATGGCTGAATGTGTCATGTTTCCCCTCTAACTGCTTAAAAGTGCTAATGAGAAATGTGAAGAGTTTTTTCATTTCTCTGCTTCATAAAAGTAGCTCCATTTTTATGGAATTTGTTATGTTGGGATCTCTATAAATAATAGTTTGCATTTTCTTATTTTCTTTTATCTTAAACAAGCTTGACAAATATTAAAATTAAACAGTAAACAAGGGAGAGAAAGCACTACAGCTCAAATAAACATGAAATGCAGTTTTGTCGTGAAGGTAGGAAAGTAATTCACTCTTAATTTAAGGCATTACTGTTAAAAATTATTTTCTGTTTCCTTGGGAATGGAAAGTCCATTGAAAAAAATGAGTTTTAAAATAAATAAGTTATGAAATAAATGTCATGGGGATATAACATACAGCATGGTGACTATAGTCAATAATACGGTATTGCATATTTGAAAGTTACAAAGAGTAAATCTTAAAAGTTCTCTCAAGAAAAAAATTTTTGTAATGGTGATGGAGGATAACAAGATTTCCTATGGTGATCATGTTGCAGTGTATACAAATATCAGAACATTATGTTGCTTACTTGAAATTAATATGTTATATGTCAATGATACCTCAATAAAAAATTTAAAAGTAAAGTAAAGAAAAAAAATTAAAGAATAAAAACAACAAAATGAGTATCTCATTCCTCACTTCAAAAATATCTCAGTCAAAAAGCTGAAAACTTTCACTTTTTGGGTGTCATTTTTGTACTGCTTTTCAATTTTGGAATCTTCAGCAGACCAAAGGGAAATGATTACTTGCACCTGTGCTCAGCATTAAAAAAAAATTGAGAAAGCTTAATAAAAGTTTGGCTGAGCCACCAAAGTATAAATGCCTATCAGAACTTTCTAAAATTCACCAAGAGGGCTGAAATCCTAAAAGGAGATGCTCTTTGGTTTTCCAAGTTTGAATTCTGCTATAGTATGTGTAATGAGAAAATGGACAGCACATACTAGTGATAACAGCTAACATTTATTTGAGGGTTTACTGTGAGCCAGGCATTATTCTTAGTACTTTATATACTTCTACTCATTTTATCATCATTCCAAACCCTGTGAGGTAGGTACTATTATTGTTTTACAGATGAGGAAACTAAGATGGGGAGGGATTAAGTAGCTTTGCCCAGCGTCAATTAAGTGGCAGAGCCAGGATCTGATCCAAGGAAGCCTAATTCTTGAGCCAGACATCTTGATCTCTACAACACACTAGCTTCAATCTTCATTCCAGTAACAATTCAGAATGGAAGAGGGAGGGAGAGAGAGAGAGAGACAGAGAGGATCTTCTGTTAGGAATGTACTGAATTCTTTGATAATTGCTACATTCTTAGTTATATGAAAGGGGAAATGACACTTTGACTCAGATATCTGATACTAGATTCATTCCTTTGGAAAAAAAAAAAAAAAAAAAAAAAAAAAAGCATTGTTCAGACAAAGCCAAACCAAAAAAAAACAAAGCTAGTAAATTTCCAGCTTTTGAAAAATACCAAATTGTATTAAAACAGACATTCTTATGCCTTTGCCAGTCCCCATTCTTGGGTGGAGGATATAATATAATTGACATAGATGGTTTCACTTGGGAGGAGGAAAGGTCCTCACCAAACTGAAATGTCTGACAAGAGGTAGCACGAAGACTTATCTTTGTTTTCAGCATCATGTTTACTGGCCTCAAAATTATAACTCTTTCCAACTCATCCTCACCTCAATTTCATTTTAAAGATTCCAAGCACCTGGGGCTTCCCTGGTGGCGCGGTGGCTGAGAGTCCGCCTGCCGATGCAGGGGATGTGGGTTCGTGCCCCGGTCCGGGAAGATCCCACATGGCGTGGAGCGGCTGGGCCCGTGATCTGGGGCTGCTGAGCCTGCGCGTCCGGAGCCTGTGCTCCGCAACGGGAGAGGCCACAACAGTGAGAGGCCCGCGTACCGCAAAAAAAAAAAAAAAGATTCCAAGCACTTGTTGTACTTATAACAGATTTCCTATTGTATACAGAATCATTATCAAAACAGCAACAGAAACTTTGATTTTTACAAACATAAAGCAGAGAAATGAATTTGAAATAAAAGGAGGGATATTTGGGATGGAGACCTATGGAATACAATTCTATCAAATGTTCTATTTTATATTAATGGAGAAATCACTTTTCTGAGCTTAATTTTCTTAATCTGGAAAATGGCAAGGTCCTATCAGGTGATCTGTAAACTTCTGGGATTCTATAATTCTTTAAATTGAATTATGGTAAGATATGAACATTCTAGAAATTTTATTTAAAGCAGGGGTTTCATTCACTTCTGACATTATTCCATTTAAGTCTTCCATCTTTGCTTCTTCTTCCTACTCCTAACCCTCGCCCAGTGCCTGGCACACTGTAGATGCTCAACATCTCTTAACAGGTTGAATGAACGAAACAAATGTTCAAAGAAGATTCCAGGATTCACATTCTTTCCTGGCTTCCTCAGGAGAACAGCGGTGGGAACAAGGAAAGGCAGAGGGTTTGCTGCAGGCTCAGCTGGTTGGTAGGTTGTCCTCTCAGTTTTCATTTTTCCACCTGAGCCATTTCCTCTGACCAGTAAGAGTCAATGACAGACCATGAGGTTGATGCAACATACCTGGGCTGTGTCCCTGTTGGCCTCAGGCAGTGCCATGATCATGAGGTGTAAGGCTTGAAACTGTACTTTGATGTGAGGCCCTCCTAACAAGAAAACAGAAATAACCACACATTTTGAACAACGCTCACGCATTCTGACAGCATTTCTTGCTAACATCTGGTGGCATAGGAGGGCCCTGACAGCTTTCAGTGGTAAAGACTCAGGTTTCGTGACTGACAATGTACGTCTGTTCACTTGGACAGGAGCCTCAGTCTATCAACTCCTTTTTAGCATCCTAGGATGCCACTGTAGGGGCAGGTGGCCAATGAGATCCTCAAAATTATTCTGGGTCTGTATAACATTTCTCTTTTCAAAGTACTTTCATAGATCTTTCTTTACTTTTATGCTATAAACAGTTGGCTTGAAGCTCAATTCAAGAGAAAATAAATTTTATTTCCGTACGATGAGGCAGCCAAGCATAATAATTAGGAGCAGAGATTCTAGAACCAGATTCAAATTCTGCATGTACTATTTAGTCACTGAGTGACCTTGGGCAGGCTATTTAACCCCTGTTGCTTCTATTTTATCATCCATAAAATGGGAATCGTCATCATACCTACCTCACTGGGCCATTATGAAGGTTAAATGAGCTAAGGTACAGAGTGTTTACACCAGTACCTGTACATAGTTACCTCCGTAGGTGTTTGCTCTTGTTATTATGATCAGTGACGTTTATTTTAGCTCTTAAATGGACATGAAGGGAAGGTAACCACAGTTGGATCTTTGGAGATCCAGAAGATGGCGCCAGAGAGTTGGCATTCTACTACTGTGTGTTCTCAATATTGGCTCTTTTCCCATTTTAGGGAAAGGATTTTAGGAGATCTATTCACAACTGGATAATTCACAGCCAGCTGTGCTGAAAACATAGGGTATTCCAGAGCATCCAGGCTTTGCCTGTTCTTTCTGTATTCTCCCCAAAATGGTCTCTTGGTAGGGAGGTCCTGCAGGGAAGCATGACGTTCTGTAGCCCCCGGGGAGCTCTCAAGTTGAAGGAAGATCTATCCATTTACGGCTCAGTGGATAAAGGCAGTCAGCTGCCTATAGAGTTACTTAGCTTTACAGTAGTGGAGACACTCTCGTGACAAACTACTAGGTCACAGGAGGTCGTGTGCATCCGAGTTAGGAGTACATGATTATTGTGTGTAACCATGTAATGAAGGAACAGCTGGGAGGAGTATTTATAGGCTCATATCATATTGTCTCAGCACAATCCCCATGTGGATTTTTAAAAATTTATGTCAAATTTGTAAACAAAAAATGACACAGGTCCAGGTTGTTTTTGAAAGTGGCTAATGCACACTGATGTGAGTTTGCCTGAATAACAGGCACTAGCAGGAGTATATCTCAGTACAAAGCATTTGGGGACAGATAAGACATTATTTTAGTGCATAAATTGCAGGCTAAGGGCTGTCTATAATTTTCCAATGCAACCCAAAAAAACCTCTGGGGGGAAACAATAGATGCAGATGCAGGCTATTTCCATTAATTCCAGATAAATTACAAAGTTCCCTTTAAGATTAAAAATCTAAACTGGCAAATAATCCATTTTCATTTTGCTTAGAAAACCCGGCTCTACACTGTTTTGTGGTTAATAGTTTTGTAGTTAATTCATTTATTGCACCCTGGTTAAGAGTCATTTTTTTCACTCCTGAGGTCATTATTTTCTCAGAAAGTTATTAAACTTTTCATGAAAGTATCTAAGGTTTGATTGATGAACTATTAGTCTTTTAATTTTATGGGCAATTTTTGGACCAAGTTTGAAAAGAGAAAAGAGAAAGTAATTACACTAGTGGAAAAGACTACATTCTCTGACCTCCGTTTTAGAGTAAATACAGGGGCAGCTTAAACACACAGATGTCCACAGTTCTTCCCTTCAGAAAATCTCATTACAACGAGAGCTTACTCCAGGTGGCAAAAAGGCCATTCTTCCCGATGGCAGCAGCCCAGAACGTTGGGCTTCCTGTGGGGTTGGCTAGTTATCAAATCAATCACGACAATATAGTATTTTTCACTTTCAAAGTCATACAAAGAAATGCGGATCGTCCTGTGAAACTTTTCAGGATATTTTCCAGATTCTCTCCCTTCATTGAAGTGTATTGGCTTCAACATCTGAATAATGATATTAAGAAAAACTAAATATGATTTCCTTCTTAAATATGATTCTCCAAACAGGTTTTACATGGTGATTGACTCCTCCTTGTATAATTCCATAAGACCAAAAAACGAAAAACTAAAACAAAAAAATCCTCTGTGGCACCATTTGTTTTGATGAATTGTTCAGTATATAAACTGCAGATCAAAGTGAAGTTAAGACTTCTGCAGCCTGTTTTCCAGGACAGCAAACTTTACAGAAGATCCTGTGTTTCTCTGACTTAGAAATAGAGGGAGGGAGTTCTGTTTCTGGTATGGCTGAGTAAGCTCCTACCCAATCAACCCTCCTTAAGACAACTGTACACTCTGGACAATGTACAAAAAACAACTACCTGAGGCAATGGAGAATGAACAAAAGCAGGCAGATTTAGGAGGGCATTGGACACTTGGCATTAGGGAATGGCACAGGGAGAGTGTCCAATTTCCGGGCTTTTAGTTTGAAGTCAGGCCATAGACAGCAATGGCATGAGGTGGCTGAAATTCCAAAAGAAAACCCCAATCTTTCTGGCCTGAACAAAGAGAGGGCAGGGTTCAGGAGGACCACAGCCACTGGGAAGTTATGGGGAATCCCAGAAAGGGAAGGTCAAGAGATAGAAGGCCCTAATTCTGGTGTAAAATCCACCCAGATGTTGGATCACCCCATAAACCATGCATATGTGGAGTAGCACAGGTAAGTATTAAATAGCAAACTGTCTGCTTAAATACAAACAAAAAACAAAACTAACCAAAAAACCCCACTCCTTGGAGAAATATTACAGAACACAGAGTTTCCAAAAAAATATTCACAAGGTTCTGGATACAGTTTAAACTTACTTGACATAAACAGTGACCCATTTTCAAGGGAAGAGACAGTCAACAGAGACCAACCCTCAGATGACCCAGATGTTGGAACTAGTTATGAAGCAGCTATCATAACTATGCTCAATGATATGAAGGTAAATATGCTTACAATGAATGAAAAGATAGGGAATGTCAGCAGATAAATAGAAAATAGTTTTAAAGTAGCAACTGGAGATTCTAGAACTGAAAATATACAATATCTGAAATAAAAAAGAATGAAGATTCGAGTCCTGGTCTGGGAAGATCCCACATGCCACGGAGCAACTGGGCCCATGAGCCACAACTACTGAGCCTGCGCGTCTGGAGCTTGTGCTCCACAAGAGAGGCTGCGATAATGAGAGGCCTGCGCACTGTGATGAAGAGTGGCCCCCGCTTGCCACAACTAGAGAAAGCCCTCACACAGAAATGAAGACCCAACACAGCAAAAATAAATAAATAAACTCCTACCCCCAACATCTTCTTTAAAAAAAAAAATAAATAAATAAAATAAAATAAAGAATGAAGAGAACTAGTTCTCTCTTTCTTTCATAAAACAAAAATACTACATCATACAAAGAAAAGAGATACTGGTCACAGCATGTCAATTAAAGCTTAGAAAAGGACTGCCTTGTCTTATATTCTTTTCTCTGAAGACATAGTGGATTATTTTATGAATCTGGTTTAGTTAAAATTTTTAAAGATTTAGAACCAACTAATTTTTAGGACAAATTTTGTCATACAACTTAGGATGTGACTATTATTTTCTATGATTGTGATTTTAAGGATTTTATACTTCTGGTCAACCTGCAGAAGGTTGTAAACTGGCAGATACGGGTAATACTTGCTATGCTCATGTAGTGTTTTAAAATTTGAATTTGTGGCTGACATTTTCAAATGAAGAGTTTCGTCATTAAAGCCTGGATTTTGGCTTTCACTCCTGCATGGTAACCATCATCCAGAGCTGAGCAGTGGCCAACCTCTCTATATGGGATATGTCCTCCCCATCTGGCCACAGTCCCTTTCTGTCCATATAGAATCACCATTTACTTAGCATGCTTATACATATTTAGACTTGTGACTCCTGAATTCTTCAGGTTGGTCGTCAAAGCCCACACTATGTAGCCTCATCCTACTTTTCTAAATTTCTCTCATCACACCTTCTTCAATATTCAACCTTTAGGATGAGATTACTTTCTGACTGCCAAATACAACACACACTGTCCAGTTTCTATACTTTTTATCCAAGTACCTCAGTTAAGGCCTCATCTATGTGACTTTTTAAGTTTCAGAAACACTATGTGATACTGTAATTTTCAGAGACAAAACACCTTCTTACTGCATGCTACATCATCAGACCCAGGACCTCGGATTTAAAGAAGGGAGAGATCTTATATTTTTTGAAGGACTATTATACACCAGACACTATCCTAGATGTCTTCATTCAATACCCACAACAGCCCTGACAAGTAATTATTATCTGTAATTTACAGGTGCAGCAGTGAAGCTCAGAAAGGTTGACTGCATAGTTAACAGATGGTTGAGCAGGAATTCAAATCTCAAGAGCCAGGTCTTTCTGTAACCCTCTCTGCCTTCTAATGATTATAAAACCCTCTAAATCATATCAACCAGACTCAGAAATATAAACATGTGAAGAGATGACAGTTTACCATCAAACTCAATAGCTCATCAAGCAGTACCAGGAAATAGCAAATCTAGACATTTATGATCACATCTGATTGTGCATATTTCTTCTGCTCTGTGCCACTTTATTGACCTTGTAACTTAGTCCATTCACACTTAACTTCTTCCACCTACTTTCCATTAGAGTGATGAAAGCAGGTATATATTCCACAGGGAAGAGAGAGGTGGGTAGTTCTCTGAAAAATGCTTTCAACATTACTGCAGCTTCTCTGTGGCACATTTTCTCCCATTTAAACTTATCAGCATTAAACTTGGCATCCAGTTCTTCACGGTATTGCTGAAAATCAAGGAAGATAGTGAGTTTTACCACCTGATCCTCCCCCTTTAAAAACTATCATTACATAAACTATTTTTGTAATTAGACTGAAAAGCCAATATCTACTAAGCTTATCTTTTTTCAACATGATTAAAGAACTGAAATGGCTATTTCTGAATATATCTTAATTTTAAGTTTTCTAAAATCCTTTTAGAATAATGTTAATCTTAAAATAATTTGCCATCTATACAAATACGGAAGTTCTTTACTCAGATCATAGTTTCATTTATATGGTTTTGGTAGAACACTGCCTATGCCCACATCATAAATGCACTGCTAGATTTTGACAAAGCCTCCACTTCCCCCTTTTCTTCAATGATGCCTTCCTTCTGCCACCCTGTCTTCTGTTTCTAAATTAGATCAAGAATGTATGCCTCTTGGCTAGTTCACATACAGAATGAGAAATATCCCAACAAAGGAACTCTGACCTCACTGCAACATGCACGCCAATGATATCTTCCTGGAGCAGTTACAGCAAAGTTTTATGCCAAGATGTACACATGTCTTCCACATGTCTGCATGTTTGCCCAATCCTTCGTAAGGTCGGAAACACTGTGTAAATACTTTTTAAAACAATCACTAATCGTCCTTAAGTTTTACTTGGGTTATACATTTTACATTATTAATTCATTTGACGACCAGTGCCCCCCATTCTACTGCTCCCTTGAATTAGAGTTTACCAGTAATACCAGGCAGTTATAGTCAGTTTCCAAACTGACAATAACTGCTTCAAAAAGGATTCTTAAAAAAAAAAAAGGGGAAAACTCTGAAAATCCTTAAGGCCTTTGCTTTATTCTCATGAGACGCCTAAGTCTTCCAGCCTTGAACATGTAAGAGAAGCCAGAGAACGACAAGGTGAGATTTATCTTTCCTGACAGGCAGGCGGAAAAGTGATTTGGGGGAGCTCGGAGCTCGGCACTGGCTGGGAAGCAGGCCAGAGATGCAGAAAGCAGTTATCGGGCTAGGGCACCATTTCTGGTGATGGATCATCGAGGACTTAACCTGGATAAGCAGTTGTAGGATAGAAAGAAGAGGTGGCATTTAAGAAACGCCTAGGAGGGAAAATTCTCAAGAATCAGTAATGGATTGAACATGAGACTCAGAGGGAGAAATAACAGTCCAGGATGACTCTCAGATTGCTAGCTGGAGTAATGGGCAGATGGAGGTGTTGTTAACAGGAAATAGAGGGGGAGGAGTAAATGTTTTCCGTCCACTGCCTGGTACCACTGCCATAAGGCAAAGGGGAAACTGTTTTGCAAGTGGGCAGGAAGTATTGGCAAGAGCAGAATAATTCAAATCCACTGCCCACAGACCTGTGCCACAGGAAGCTACCTGAAACCTAAGAGGCAACATGGCACCAGGGTCAAGGGCAGGCTCTATAACCACATTCTTTAGGTGTTTATCCTAATTCCACAACTGCCTAGTTGTAGGCCTGTGAGATTTCTCGCTCCATAAGACGGATATTAGGGATTTCCCCAGCAATCCAGTGGTTAAGACTCCAAGCTTCCAATGCAGGGGGCGTGGGTTTGGTCCCTGGTCAGGGAACTAAGATCCCACATGTCGTGTGGTACAGCCAAAATTTTAAAAAATAAATAAATAAAATAAAGTCAAGAGCAATCATATTTTTTTTAAAAGATGGATATTAGAACAACCTCACAGAGATTAAATTGGATACTACAATGTAGAGCTCAGGGGGCAGGGCCTGCATACAGAGAGTGCTCAGGAAATGCTGACTGCACTTACCCTCCCCTCGTCTGGGTCTGCTACAACCTCTAGTGTTACTACTACAGGAAACCCATGTGTATGTGGTGTGGATATTCTGGTAATAACAGCACCTCGTCTTGTCTAGACGGCCAGCGTGAGACAAACGGAGAAGTTTGGACCAGAGCACAGTGGAAGTAGGAGCAGAGCTGACATGTCCACAGTGGTCCTAAACATGAAGCCCTATGAACCAGGGGCTGAGTCTTCCTTGCCAGAGATGTGTACATGTTAAAAAAAAGTCATGCTTTCTGTCCACTGTTAATGAGAGCACCAGGCAAGGGTCAGGAGCCATGTCCTTCAATCTCCTCTGAGCAAATATATAACCTGCTTCCAATTTTGAGGTAATTTTATAAAAATGCAAATAACCTGCTTTCAGCTTCAAAAACCAGTTCAGGAAGGGACACCAGCAGACCAGGTAACATCACTATAAACCATTTAGAGCAGCCTCCGAATAACTGACACGAGTCAAAAAAGAAAACCGTGCATGTCAAACCAGTCTGCCTTCTTCCATGAAATATACTCCCCGGTGTTTGGCTCAAATTTCTGTCATTTTTGGAAAAGAAAATCACTGGAAACACCAAAGCATTAAATTGGTTCCAAATGATCTGAGGCCTCACATCCAGGAATGGGCTGGGCAGTTATGTGCCCCGTGTGGCTAAAACCAGCAGCGTCCCCCGGGGCTACTCCCCTGTGAGTCTAACCAGGACTTGAAAGCACAACCCAGGCTGGCTTCTTCATAATGATACCTTAGTGTTAGCGTCATCCACTTGGCACAATTTGAGGATAATTACAATGGTTTTTTTTTTTTTAACTTTCTTTCCCCAAGCACATTCGTAGATGAAAAATTTTTTTAAAGTTTAAAGTTTGAACAAAGAAGAGAAATAAAGGCCCCTTTACTATATCAAGTTACAATGCCTTTCTAACTGCAATACTCCCGTTTCTGTTCACTGGCCCGGAGTTCTTTCACATTGGCTTTCTTGGAGCTCAAACCACGAAAACATCTGGATTACATTTTTCGGACTAATAAGAGATGGAATAAATAGGCTAAAACTACATAAAACCTATTAAGGGCCAAAAGGGACTTTTACCTAAATGTGGTTCAGGAATGCATGTGCCTATTAGAACACGTTAAATGAATTATTGGCCTTTGATAAGTATTTTTCAGTCAAAGATTAGCTAAAGAAAAGCAACTTGTGCTATGATGTTAAAGTTCATACACACAAGAAATGTTGTGTAATGTTGTCTCCTTTTGATTATTTTCAAAAATAGAATTTTAAGTCATATCCATTATGTTCCCCCTACACACACACAAACACACACACACACACAGTAAGAGTCAGTAAGAATATGTGCGAATACAACTTCCCTATTATAGAGGGAGGTTTAGAGGGATGGAGTCTAATTCTGTTTAGGAAATTCATTTTCCTGACTTCATTTTGGTTCTCTGACTCTACAGATATAACCACAAAGACTTAACCAAAACTAGTAACAGCTTTTGTCCTCAGATTTAGGATACATTTATTTAGAAGTATATATAAAAAACATACCTGTGAGAACCTGAAACAAAAAGTAGATCCCATTCAGAGAGGACAAACCTTAAGGATCCACTAGGAATTTTCCTGCCTTCCAAACGAACTTGTGCCAGTATTTAGTAATTTCTACTCCCAGGGAAGTCACAGCCCCCCCAAATGCGCTGATCCCTCTGTCACTGGCAAAGTGCAGAGCACTGCTCAGGTCTCCCTTCAAAAAAGAGCTGGCTGTTCATTGGCAAAAATGCAGGTAGCTGACTCCCCAGGTGCTGGCACCTTCTGACTGGCCTCAGGTCCTTCCCTGCAGGCAGCCCCAGCAGTGACAGTGCAGCGTGGAGCTGACAGGGCACAGGGAGAGAGTCCCACCTGCACCCGGTCTGAGGCTCAGCCCGCCCAAGCCCACCTCCTCCCCCTTGATCCTTGAGAAGCACGGTCCCTCGATAACCGTCTTCTACTCCTAACTCTGTCCCAACACCTGCTTCCTGGAGCTTCCAATAGACACAGCCTATTTACCCTCAGTTTCCCCTTTGAAAAATATCTCGTCATACGTCTATATAAAAACTCTGAGACTTCTGATACAACTAGAATTTCCCAAAACATGTGCCCAGATGAATTAGTGAAGAGATGCTTTCCTGCCCCTACACAATTCCTTTTACTAGTTCAAACACAACCAAGTTCACTTTTCCCTCTCCCTGAGACTTTTTTTTCAAGGATTCATTATTGAGAACTGCTCATTTTTCCATGCCCACCCACCAGGGGAATGTACAGGGCAGGGAGGGACGCTTCATCGTGGAGGCGCACCGGCACACAAAGTGGGATATCTTACTGGAAATTTATGAGAAAAGCTTTTCTTTCCTAACAATTCTTTTTTTTTGCTGTACTTGAAGAGTTTCCCACCATCCAGAGGTAGGAAAGTAAAGGAATTCACATTGCATGGATGGTTTTATATGTAGAAACTAACATTACCTTAAATGGAATTGGGTTTTAGAGCTGCTGAGTGGTGTTCTAGTGGTTACAGCCATTCCTACAAATTCTTATAAGGACTTCCATTAAAAGGAAAGCCAAAGAATGTTTCTAAGTTTGAAGCAATTGACAATGGAAATCAGGGATCATCTAATACTGGCTTAGTGAATTCCGTGACTGAGAGGAACACAAAAAAGCTAAACTGTTTAACACAAAAAACAATGATGGGACATTTCAACTTTACCAAATTAAAGACAAGCAGCAGTTTTTGATAGTGAATTGATGTGTTCTTTCATTGTTGTTGGCTTTTTATTGTTGTTGTTTTAGTTTAAAGGAATACACAACTCAGGATCATGGAACACAGGTACTGAGGAAAGCTCTATAGGGCCAAGTGGTAGTATCAAAAAAATAACAACAAACAACTGGACACACCTGATGCCTGTGTGAACTTGGGTCTAGCTAGCTGAGATCTCTAACGAGGAAGAGAGAAAATGTTTGGTACCTTGACTTTAGCAGTACATCCTGAAAGTCGAAAAATCCCTTCAGATTCCAGACCCGATTCTTCAACTTTCTGAAAGAACTGGAAAGCAATGATACATTACAAAAATAAATACCTCCATATGATTACAAACATTTGAAATAATAATGATGATGAAAACAATCGATACATTACCAAGCATGCCTAGTTAAATGTTCACACTCTCCCAGGAGGTCGACATTAGCCTCCAATTTGCAAATGAGGAAATGGAGACTTAGAGCTGTTTTCCACTTTCCCCAGGGTCAACCTCAAAAGTAATGGCACCAACTCTCTCAAGCTCGTGCTCTTAACCAAGAAACTACACTGCCACTTAACTATTTTAAGATCTGATTACTGTATCTCTTTCTGCAGATTGACCAATAAGAAAAGATCCTAAATTTACTATCATTAGTTGCACTATTCTGGCTAAGAAACTACAGGGATTCTCGAAATCTGACCAAGGGATTACATACTGTAAAGGCTTATAGGTCTCATGAGCTCTCATGGTAATGATGATGGTTTATTATTAAATAATATAAACACTAACGCTGATTGTGCACTTACTGTGTGTCAGATAACATTCTCAGCACTTTACGTACATTAACTTACTTAACCCTCACAATAATCCTATGAGGCGGGTACTAGTGGAATCCCCATTCTACTGCTGAGGAGACTGAGGCACGGAAAGGAGAAAGGATCTGCCCACGTTCACACAGCAAGAGCAGGATCCAGAGTCTCTGCCATTTTCCCTTCATGAAATGACGGTGCCTGGAGCTAAGGTAGCTCCTGTAGGTATGAAGAGAAGTAGATATTTAGGAGGAAGAAACATGTTCATAAGAAAAGACTCTCCCACGGGAGTAGAAGAGCAATGCCTCAAGCTGTCTTAAATGAGGAGCAGTAACTAGAGCTAGCACCTACTGAGATGCTAATACGAGATAAACCCGGATTTAGTTTTAACTAGCGTTTATTGTGCACCTTCCATGTGCTAGGATTTTGCACCTACTTAACAATATAAATTCTTGTGTTGAATCTTCTCAGTCTTAGATTTTTATGCATTTTCTTCAGACTCTGTCCTTTCACTGGAGGACAAAGGGCATTATTCTGGTTCTAATTCAAGGAACGAAAGGAAATCTTAGAGTCACCATGGATTTGGCCTTGGATATACATACTGTGTTCCTTTTTGCATCTACTTCTTGTGTGTTCTTGGGCAAGTTACCTCACCCTACGATGCCTCCGTTGCCTCACCAGTAGAAGGGAGATGATAACACCGACCTCTTGGGGCTGCTCGGTGCTGTCCAGACGTGACAAGGTACAGACGGCCAGGTGCAGGGGAGGTGCCCTACAGACGCGCACACTGGGTGTCGCCCGCATCCTCTGGCCCCCTGGTTGCCATCTTCCCTGCTCCTATTGGCAGCCAATCAATCACCTGATTTGAGGAGCAGCTCAATTTGAGGTATTGGTAGCAAAATTAAGGAAGATAGTAAAGAGACATAGAATTGTTATTGTGAATAAAGTAAGTATGTTTCCTCACTCAGTATTTTCACATATCATTTAAAAATTGAATTGAAAATTCAACAAGATTTGTGTTTAGGGCTTGGAATTTTACTTGTGCCACTGGATGTCACTGTTGAATAAATACATAATTAAACCAGTGTAAATTGTTGGCTATAAAAAAACGTGACACAAAAGCAAATGAGCCACTAACCAGTGATGGTCACAGAGAAACCACATACGATAGTTCAGGTAACATCAGTTTCAAAACCTCCCAAACCAAAATTCTTCTTTGTCTAAATGGATCGTACCTTCTCAGTCATACCTCAAACACCACCAGAATAAGCTGATTTTTAGACTTTATTTAGCTTTGTCTGGAAAATTCATTTAAACAATTATACATACACATTTAAAAACACCCAACCTGTGATATATCTCAGCAAATACTTGTATGATTAGTAAATGGACTGCTAATAATTAAGTCATCTCTTATACAGGACAGAATAATCAAATACACACACACACACAAACACATACATACACACAAATAACATTTTTTAAATATTCAAAGAAATATAAATGAAGGAAGCCATGTGACAGAGCATCTGCACTCATCACCTGATGCTTTATGATCAGACAATGAAACAGGCTCCAGAAGTTCTCAGCAAGGCAGGCATGCCCAAGTGTTTGTGGATGTCATGTGGATGTATGGAGGAAACCCGGAAATCACCAAGGCCCAAGTCCTAATAGGGCTTTAGTGTCTTTAAATCTAGAGGAAAATTCATTAGTGGGTTTACAAATAGCACATTGCAAGCACAGGGCTCTATTAAATCCCCCTTTATTTACATTGAACTCACTTTTTGTAACACAAGGGGAACTTTCACTCCGGCATCTTTCCTTCGGTCATTTTCCAGCAGGACTGTAAGAGGAACTCCAAAAATCCCACTGTCTTCATTGTAAAATAGGTGAGAAAGAAAAAAGAATCAGAAAAGCACCGTCTTATTCCCATGTATCAAAGTCTTAAAGCCAGAATAAGTCTTTTTGTTTTGTTTTGTTTTCAGAATAAGTCTTAATACCTCGTCCTTTTACTTTCTCCGTTTTGTTTCTTTTTAGTTGAATACGAAAGGCATCAAAAAAGGCCGTCAATTCAATCAGAGAGAGATGGCGGATTTTCTTCATGTCTTCAGCAGACAGATCTCCTGCTTCAGTTAGGCCAAATCTGGTTTTCTGAACAATAAATTTCTAAAATACATATTGAGGATATTTATTTTTTATGGCAAAGGAAAATTATTATACCTTCATTCAAATGCCACCTGGACATTCTAAGTCTGTACAGCAAGACATGCTATTCATAAAAAAAATCTCTGAGGAGCATGCTGCATCACAGAAAGATTATGAATATGATTTTTAGAACATCTGCAGATCACTACTACACTAAATTGAAACAAAATAGTGATCTGAAGTATACCATAACGTCATCATCACAACTGTGATGTAAAGAATGTAGGTAATTTCTCAACTGAAACTGATTGCACCTGCTTGCTGAGACAATAGTTATTCTACCTTAAAAATCAAATGTAGGTAATTCAGAATATTCTTAAAAAAGAAAAATGCACAGAAAGTGCCAAATAATTCTACTATCATTTTGAAGCCAATTATATTGTTATAGCCTCCATTTCCACACTAGGAAACAAAATACACTAAAAGAACAATAAAAAACCCTTCAACAGTCCAGAAATATTGTGAAGACTATAAGAAGTAAGACCTTTAAAAAACAAGAGATTGTTCTTGTAATAAATAACAGAAATATTACATATAAGTAATAATAATAAAATATAAGTATTATATAAGTTAATATATAATTACATAATAAGTAAAATATAAATTTTATATTTAAGTATATATATAAAATCCATAACAAATACCTTGCTCTCAGAAAACCTGGTATTGAAAGAAAATGGCTAAAGTAGAAATATACAATAGTTATTTAAATTACAAAGTTGTAAGTATACATTCTCCATAGGAGTTCCCTAAACTAGAGCTTCCTTGGGATTTTTAAAGCATCTTCCAATTCATTCATTCATTTATTCATTCATTCAACAACTGTTCTTTGAAATTCCAAGCATTTAAAAGCTAAACAACAAAACATAGGGTGTGGTCTGAGGTATACCTTGTGCTATTAAACACTTGGTTATTTTACCTTCTTTCTGAGACCAAGGCCCCACATGACAATAATACATAACAAGAACAGCAACACAACAAGAACTGCAATCATTACTGAGCAATTATTGACACTACGTGCTACACCCTATGCAGAGCTCTTCATGGGAGGCTGCCCTGCACCCCAGGTGAGCCCAAACTCAGGAGGAGACAGACATGATGAGGAGACTGGGGGTCAGCATCCTCTCTTGGACAATTCTCTCCAAAGATTCAGAGGGACTCCCCCTGCAACCAGAGTCCCAGAGCTGGGTTCCCTCTTTTGTCCCAGAATGCCACTGTGCCCTCCGACATAGAGGCTGCATAGGGTCCAGGAGGGGTTCTGAAGATGGACACGTGTAGGTTTAAATTCTGTTTCTGCCTCCTATTAGCTGTGAAGATTTGGATATGTTACTTAGCTTGTTTGGGCCTCAGTTTCCTCAACTGTAAAATGGGAGCAATCACTAGGATGATGAGAACTAGAATACCTGCTGCAGTGTCTGGCCCATAGAAGGCTCCTGGTGGGTCTTACAGATCTTGCCCTGTCCTCTTCCCCTCCTTCACAGGAATGGTCCAGGCCACCTGGGGCAAAGCCTCTGCCTGATTCTAGATGACTCATTCCTCTAGCCCTGAAACTGCCTGAGCCCTGCTCATCATGCCTCCAGCCCTGATCAGCACAGAATATTCAGGACTCCACATCTTGAACTCTTCACAAATGCATTGACTGAGTAGCAAATAGATCAGTGTAGCATATTTCCTGTATTGGGCTTTCAGAATATAATTATCCTGGATATATATAATGAGGCTTTCAGGCTAATGAAGTATGTAGCTCTACTTTCCCATCCCATAATAATATTACAAATTCTTGAATTTATTTTTGATGAGTTTTTAGTGTCTGCCCTATAAGCTCTCACTTCTTATTGTTAATGACTGTGACTTTCTGACATGTGGCTTCTAATGCACAAGTAGGTATACAGTTACAGTTAGAACTGGCATCAACCTATAAGTAAAGTAAGGATAGAAAGTGCATGAAAGCACACAAGCCAAGTGGAAATCCTATTTCATCTATAAAGCAGTACGCAAGCATATACCCTAGCAACTCTTCCTCAACCCAGGGCTGCCAGGTACAGCCAGGCAGGCTGTGTACTGCACAACAAATAATGTCCCTGGTGTGATGCAACACTGATGCCTGGCCTCTCCCCATGCCCTTGTGCACACACAAAGAAATTTTTAAAAAAATCCTAGTTTGTCCCACAGAGAAGTCACAGGAAGCTAGTGGAATAATCATGAAAGGTTTTTACTTACAGGTAAAACATAGTCTTCTTTCTTAAAATCTGACTTCTTCAATTTATTTCTTTTTGGAGCCTCTGTAACCATTTCTGAATAAGATACTTCAAAGGACAGCTCTTCAGCTTGTAGTGGAATGTCCTTTTCCAGATATTCATCATCTAAAGAACAGAGGATGTGGAATATTTAATACGCCATTTAATCAATCAATACCATTTACTGTAAAATAAGCACAAAATGTTTACAAGTTAATCCATAAGCACATTAGAATGTTTACATCCAGGAAAAGCATTAGACTCACCCAGAATGATTTCAGTTAAGCAATTAATGTAGTGTCATCAGATTTCCACATGAACAAACTTCTATAATCATTATCCAAGCAAACTTTCTATTTAATCTGATGTTTTTAATTTTAGATGTTTATGTCTCATGAAAAGCATTGAAGATTAATTAGAAAGACAAAAATGAAATATTTCTATATATTCTCATGATATTAAAATTAAGTCCATCCAGACCCAACGTTGCTGCTATTGGGGAAGCAAAAGCTTAAAGCAGAGGGAGAAAGGGTGGAGGCCCCACAGGAAATTCCTGCCTACTTTCATTCCTCTTGGGTTTTTCCCAAACTGTGGAACTGTGCCTCTTAAGATTTGTTCAAATTCAGTTTGCCCTTCACTGCTAGATTTGTTCAGGTGAATTAATCCTAATTCTTGTAATTTTGTATCGTTACCTGACCTCGTATGATGTACATTACAAAGCTAAATGGGTGACAAGTACTGTCCCGTATCCATGTTTCTCTCAAGTCTGAAATCAAGCCAATAGATTCCTTACCAAAAACAAGTGAAATCATTTGAGTAAACCTAAATCTGATATTTGACTAAGAGTTTGGCTTGCCATCTTGTTTCATTGCCTGGCAAAACTGTTCATATGTCATGAAAAGAATTATTTGATTACAAAAAAAAGAGCTCATCTCTTTTACCCTCTTCTATAGACAGTGACTAAATGAAAACCAAACAGAACAAAAGGAACAAAAGATAGAAATGACAGAAGACCTAGTTAACCTCAATTAAAAGTTTAACAGAGAAATTTGTAAATCAACAAATTTAAAATTCTAAACAGTTATACTGAATTAAAACACAATAAATGGATACAGTAAGAACTTAGAAAATAATGAGGGCACAGTTAAGATTTTCACTCATCATACAGAGGCTTGCATGCAAATCAGAGTAAGATTAATTGTTAAATAAAACGCTAACTTCTTAAGGACCTATGGACAGATTCTTTGGACAGTGTTGATTATACAGGCCGATGCTCCAAATCACCAGACGACTCCAGGTAGACTTTTATCTTTTAGTGGTATGAGTTGAACTGAATAACAATATGGCAGCAAATAGAATGATGTGGAATAATTTACAGCAAATCCATTCTCTTCGATTTTTCTTTTTTTTTGGAAACAGCTTTATTAAAATGTAATCCACATGCCTAGAATTCACTTATTTGAAGTGTATAGTCAACGGTTTTTAGGATATTTGCAGAGTTGTACAACCATCGATCAATTTTAGAACATTTTCATCACCCCAACTTATTTGAGTTTTGAAGCTAATGCTGCAAGTATGGGGTTCTGCTGTATCTGAGAAGACGGTGCATTATTTAGGGAAAATTTTGAGGGATCACAAAAGTGTGGCCTAAAGGGGCCTATTTCTAACAAGGAGGATTTGAGATTCCATACTGGGCCCATGCAGAGTATCCAATGCTCAAGTGGAAGAGGCCCATTTAAAAGCTAACCCTGTTACTCTGTATATCACAAGCTGCTCTGCTGCTGCATTTACTTGAGCATAATTAGAGGTTCTTGGAAGTGGTCTGCTTCCTGGTCTGCTTGATACTGTTAAGCAGATCCAGATTACCTGTGAGAGAGGCCCCAAATCAAAGACACTGCCTAAGTGAGTAGTTTCTAAATGATGCCGTGGGAGTAAAGGTGGAAAAGATTCTGCTTCCCATGTGGTTCAATTAGTTTCGTCTGGTATGACAGATGGGCTGTTTGGAGGTGATGGGAGGAGAGGCCCGGGTGACAGAATCAAAAAGGGGAGAAAACACACTTACATTTTGCTTTCAGAAATTCACTTCTCACTGAATTGAGTGCCAGCACAAAAGCAAAAAGACACAGCTTGAGTTCAGTAGGAGTTTGTGTCACTCACCAGTCACTGCGTTCTGCACCGACTGTCCAGGGTCTGCTGAGCCATTGGAATGAGCTGGCACATCTGGAATAGTCTCCAGGATAGACTGTGAAACAAGGGAAGACGAACACAAAACAGCTTATCATAAATACAGTCTACCCTACGTTTCAACCTGATTTATGTTCTGCTGTATATTTGAATTCTTTTCACAAAAAGCAATTCTTGATTCCATGAAGGGCTTGCATCTGATTTCCTTTGTTTTCTCACTCAGTTCAGACCTGTACAGCTCACACAGTTTTCTCAAAAGAGAACTAAGTCAAGGTCAAAATAACCACATCTTCTTAAATGTTTGTTGTCATACAGTTCCTAACGTAAAAATTACAATGCTTGATGTCACATAGTTTGATGATTATTATATTTGTTATTCTTGATGCAGCTGGTCACACATTTTGGTCGTAAACTCTAAGTCATGACATAGCTAGATGGTTAGTAACAGGGATGCTGGAGCCAGATTGCTTGGATTCTAATCCTGGTTCTTCCACTTCGTGTGACTTCAAGCAAGTTACAGGACTCTCTATTGCTTAATCTCCTGATCTGTAAAATGAAGATGATAATAGAACATATTTCAACAAGTTATTATGGATTTTAAATGACTATAAATCACATGGAACAATATCTGGCACATAGTGAGTACTGCATGAGGGCTAGCTACTATTAATATACACATACATTGACTTCTTTGCTAGGAAATACAGAGTGATAATAACTACCAACAATTTAAGTACGCTTTCTAGTTCAGTGTCCTCTCTTACTTAATTTCCTACTTTCTTCACTGCAATCCTGCCAAAGCACTGCACTCCCCTGCAATGTTATCAGAAGTTGAGTAATTAACTTTGTAGAGCTCTGTAGAGCTTTGTAGAGCTCTAACTCAGGTTGGATGGGTACTAGTAAAAACTTACACACAAATTCTACCATTTCTACCAATATAAATTTTAACGTGGAAGTTATCAGCTGTGAGTATGTGTGAGGGTGAAAATCTGCTATTCCATCAAGAACCTTTTTTATGCTCTTCACACATAAGTCTGTTCTTTTTCCCCCAGAGCCTGATGTCACTCATATTTATTTAGCAATATGAACTGAACACCTGCTTCATGAAAGATCCTTTATTATGTACTACAAATTGCACAAGGGAATCTCGAATGCTGAGCTTTGCGTTCTCTTTTTCCTATTTTATTCCAAAGGAGATAACATATCTTATTGTGTAAACAGAATGTGAATATATTGCCAACTATTAAAACACAGATGCTCAATTATGTAATTGGTGGCTCTAAAAACTAACACTACAGATTAAAGATTACCTATACACTGAAATCCTTAAAAATATGTGGAACACTTTTCAGTGGTTTCCTTATGTTTTTCTAGAAAGAAATGCTTTATTAAACTTTGTAATAACTCATCTATAGAAGAGAACACTCCTGAAAATTGAGAAACACTCATGTAAGGCTTGAAGCTGATGGCTTGGGATCCTTGAATGGACTAAATGTCAATTTCGTAATCTGTAAAGTGGAGAAGTGCCATCTGCTGTCTGGTTTAACTGGCCTCCAGCCAGTCTATAGTATTGAATGAGGTCCCACTTTTTGTAATATAAATTATTCTGGGACTTTCCTGGGGGAAGCAGAAATTTAAATCGTGACCCTTGCTCTTTAGTTATTTATAATGAGGAGAAGAGAGTAACATTTATGGAACATTATTAAAAGACAATCCACTCTTAAGAGCTAATTTCTACACTACTAGTGTTTACTGGAGAGTAAAGGAGAGGAAAGAGGTGCCACCCAAAAGGTTTCACTGAAGAGGTGGCTGACCTTGCACTGAAACTCAAGGAATGATGAAAAGGACTTACAAAGGCAGGGAGGAGGGCAAAGCATTCAGGCCAGACATGGAATTATAAATTTCAGGTATGGAAATCTGAAGCATTTTGGCTTCATGAGAGGATCAAGGAGACCCTGATTTGCCAGGAGTTGAGACAAGGTATTAGAAAAATATGAGAAATGTGTTAGTCAAGAAGGTTTTGAAAGCCAGGTAGAGATTCTCAGACTTAGACTCATAAGGGTTAAAACACAACACAACAAACAAAAGAACATTCATGTGTTAAAGCAGGGGAATGACTTGGTGAAAATGAAAAGGAAGATCTCTCTGCCAATAAAGGGACCATGAGTTTTGAAACAGGTTGAATGAAAAGGCTCAGTGCTTGGTATTCATAATTTTAAAACATCCACTTACTCATTAAACATATTAATATTAGAATCTTTAAAATACTTTCACTAGTGATTTTAATGTATTTCAAACATACATGCCACTCCCATTTAAAACAAACTTCCCTAGCTTGTCCATAATGGATCCTACCATTTCCCTACATGCCCAACCACTAGAGTTTCCCACTGGGGCCTCAGCTGCTTTAGGAGAGGCAAAGCTTCCTAGCTACCAACGCTTGCTCTGCTGCCCAAATCCTACTGCACTGGGATTGGAGAGTAAGGGTTGAAGGATTATTATTTTAAATTCCAACGTTTAGAAGGTTAGCACTATCTGCTTGAGCTCTCTTAAAACTAGACTTCGACTATCTGATATTTCCTTCACATTAAAGAAACACCATATACCAAATATTTTCCGTGTTCATTACTTACAGGAGAAACTCACCGACTCAAAAGATGTTTCTGACCTTCCTGACAGGCTGCTTGGTTTTTTCTCATGGTTTCAATCTATGTGTTATAACTCTATACACTAAATCTGCCTGTGCTTCAGTCATTACAGACAATAAGGCTCCCCATATTCCTCTTCTGCATCTGAGATCAGAACTGATAAATCCACCTCTTGCATCCACTGGGCCAAATTCCCCAGAGATGAACGTATATAAGCCACATTCACTGACAAATACGTAACCAATTTTGAAATTAAAAATATAATAAAAATTACAAAATCTATCCAAATGTGAATTTAAAGGCATTCCGATGCCATCTATGACATCTGAAATTATAAACTAAATATTAAAGGCAATGAGAGTAATAAATTCCAAAAATCCATGTGAATAGCCAAAGTATTATTCAGATTACTTCTTAACCTTAAACACAAGTATAATAAAGTTTAAAAATAAATGGACACCAAGGGGGGAAAGCGGCAAGGGGCTGGGGGTGGTGGTGTGATGAACTGGGCGATTGGAATTGACATGTATACACTGATGTGTATAAAATTGATGACTAATAAGAACCTGCTGTATAAAAAAATAAATAAAATAAAATTCAGGAAAAAAAAAAAAAGTTGTTGATGTAATGGATAAGTTCCGAGCAAATTCTTCTAAAAAGGGATATTCTGAAATTTTTGTGTCTGACATTAAAATGAGTATATATTTCAAAAAAAAAAAAGAAGAAAAATGTTTATAACCCAAGAGACTAGGAAAAATTATCCAAGTAGACCCAAGAATGAACGAAAAAAATTAATAAGGATTAAATAAATTAATACGATAGAAAAAGTAGGCTTAATTAATTAAAGGTAGTGACTTTAAAAAAAAATACTGCCAACACAGGCAAGTATTTACATTCTGATAGACATAAATTTTAGGAAGAAAAAAGGAGTAATAGCTACCTTCACAGAAAATTTTAAAATTATGCACCTAAACAAATGTGTGTATGTACATATATATATTTGTGTACATATGTGTTTACACACACACACGCCAACATATATTGAAATTTTAAATGAACTGGATGTTTTGCTAGAACAAATACACATTACCAAATTCATACAAGTTGGGATTGAAAGGAATATAATCCCTAAACCATATCTATTGAAAAATTAATCAAAGCATTAGGTCTACAGTGATGCCAGACCTTGGCATAAAACTGTATATAATAGTTTTTACAGATTATATGTGTTTACACCAAAGTTTAATAAATAGCTCCAAAATACTGAAAAAGATTCAAAGTTCTCAACATGTTTGTACCTAGATTAGCATAACTCTGGTAATAACAAAAAGAAATGATATATTATAGGCTAACCCCACTTAGTAGAATAGTGGTTAAAAATGCTAAAATGGTAGCAAATCATATTCAGTAGCATAAGAAAAGAATAATATAACACAAGTAGGGTTTAACTAAGCAATGAAATTATAGTTCAACATTAGAAAAACCTATCAATGTAATTTCCTAAAGTAATTGCCTTTTAAAGAAGAAAAACAATACATTCATTTTAATAGATGATACAATCATTTGATATAACTCAATCTCTACTCCTGATAAAAGTAACTACAAGGCTCAGAAACCCAGAACAAATATTCTTCTTAATAGTGAAACTTAGAAGAATTCATGAGAAAATCAAAAATGTATCAAAAGATCTCCATAATTATTATTCAATGTTATAAGTGCTTGAGGTTGGTTGAATAAGATAAGAAAAGTAAATAAGATGAATAACTACAATCGTCCCTTGCTATTTATGGGGGATTGGTTCCAGGACCCCCAAGGACACCAAAATCCTCAAATGCTCAAGTCCCTTATACAAAACGTTGTGACGTTTGCATATAACCTATGCATATCCTTCCGTATACTTTAAATCATTTCTAGATTACTTATAACACCTAATACAATGTAAATGCTATGTAAATAGTTGCTGGTGCACAGCAAATTCAAGTTTTGCTTTTTGGAACTTTCTGGGATTTTTTTTTTTCTGAATATTTTCAACCTGCAGTTGGTTGAATCCTAGAATGCAGAACCTAAAAATAAAGAGGGCTAAGTGTATTTTAAAGATTGGGCAAATAAAACTTTCAGTATTTCAGACGATGTCTGCACAAATTATAAAATCAAATGAAAATTTCTAAGAAATAAAAAAAGAATTTTCAGAAAGGAAACTATAAGAGAGACTTTTGTGAGTAACAAAAATACTTTCCTTGTATATCCACAAAAACAGACAAGAAGATACCATGAAAAACCCCTACCATTTAAAATACCAATGAAAGCTATTAAGTTCCTAGTAACTAACAAATGAAAAAATGTGTAGGAAAAAATATGAGAGGAAATTATGAAATTTTATTGAAGGATAGAAGATACAAATGAATGGAAAGACACAATTTTTTCTCAGTGGGAAGATTCAATATTTTAAGATGTGAATTCTCTCCAACAATCTTTAAATTCAATGAAATTCTTAGTGGAGTATTAACAAGATTTTTATTTAATGGGTAGTGATAGCCTCAATGTAAGTTCATCTGAAAGAAAAAAATTTCTGAGAAGAGGAAAGAAAACTTTGATTCTAAACAATGATGGCAAACTTGTAACAAATTTAAATAAACAAAACATAGAGTCATAGTAATTAGGATAGACCCTGTATACGTAGAGAATTCACTTATCATAAAGGTGCAAATCAAACAAGTAAAAAAGATGAAAGAATGAAAAAACAAGATGTTGGTCAAACCAAGGTTATCCCCTTGGAAAAGATAAAGTTAGGTTACCTACTTTATCCCATTCCACAACATAAATGCCAATAGTGAAAGTTGTCAAGAGCCTCTGGAGTCTTGGAGATAACAGTAAATAGTCAGTGAGATTTTCCCTGACAGGCCGGCGAGATTTACCTTTATAGGCATCATGGCCAGGACCCCTGAAGCCCTTGCCTCCACTGCACTGAATCACTGGAAATCCCACCATGTAAAAGAAACTGGGGAACCAAACCGGGGTGCCCATGGCTGCTAATAATCAGGAAGCAGGGAAGTCAAAAATGTGTTTACATCATGGTAAGAAGTTCTAGAATGATTTTCAGTACAGGTGCAGAAAGAGTTAAGTTGGCATCTGTGGGCTACTTTAGCAACTAACCAATTTGTTTAACATTTCAAAGTAAAGATATTATGAGTAACAAACAATCCAAAGTAAGTCACACTAGAGACAGGTTCCAATGAAATTTTTTTGAGTGTCATTACTGCTGAAACGTTTACTTATGTCATTATTGACATTCAATCGGTTTTCAGAAAAACAAAATGAAAACAAAAACGAAATCTGAGAGACTAACTTACCCCAGGAGGCTCTATCTATAACTGCCATGTAAGATCATTTTCTTTCTCTTACACTGTCAAACTTTCAAGGATCCTATATGTAGACAACACGTGTTCAATAAAGATTTGGTGAATGAATAAATCAATGAATCAGCAGAGTGAAGAAACAGAAAAATGTCACAAGCATTGTGGTCACAGAGCTGCCATGGAAAAGCCTAGAAAACAGGCCTACCCAACCTCCTCTTCTTTAGCAACTCAACGGTGCAAACACCATTCTTCAAGTTCTGCTTGGTGTGTGCACAGAACTACACACAGTACTTTCTTGCTGGCTTATAGAACAGGTGAAGTCAGCTAGCGGACAGACGAGAGGTCAGAGACAGGAGCTTTCTAACTACCTAACACTAACACTAACTAGAAAGTGGGGAGAACTGCTGCAGGCATGGAGCAAGACTTGCATTTTAGACAGATGACTTGCAGCCACGGCGAGGATGAGATGGAGGGTATAAGCTAAAGTCCAGGAGATCACTTAGGCGGCTGCTTCAGTAACACAGAAAGATGATGAGTTTCTGTACTAAGGAAGTAGTTGTAGGAAAAGAGGGGAGTAGACGTATTCTAGAACTATGTACAAGATAAAATCAACAGGTGTCAGAGAAGACAGGTAGAGGTGAGGCTAAGACTTAGGGCTGAGTCTTGGGCACATGGGTACCTCCAGCTGAGACTGAAAATGAAGGATCCTGGCAAGGCCTTACTTAGAAGAAGAATCCTTGGTCACGGGGTGGGGGTGGGTGGACAGCACAACCATGTAAGGTCTACTGTAGGAAACTCCCCATTTCTAGGAGTTACCAGTTTGCAAATGACTTACTTTGTTTTCATCACTAACTGAGGTGAACTGGAGATTATCTCTGAAATAGAGATATTCTCACTTATTTGCATTCCAATGCGTGGTCTTAAATGGGAAAGTAACAGCTGAATTTAAAGCCAGTAGGTTAGAAACTGTGGGTAACCCTTAGCCTATCAGTGCTATAACCTGTAGTGAGTGCTACTGACAAAAATCACTCACATTATTTTATGCTTCTTAAATGATCACTGTGAAACAAAACAAAACCACCTCATAACCAAAAATCTAAAAACACAACAGAAAAACTCATTCACATGGGGCTAACAGCATTATCTCCCTGAACAATGGGGGTGCCCTGGGAGTGCGTTGTGCATATCAACTACCCGGTATATCAAACTGGACAACAGACGAGAAACTACTGCCCAGGAGGACGCTGAATGTGCCCTCTCCATCTGCCCGTCTTGTCATGCTCTTTTGCCTTCCATCAACTTGCCAGTGGAGAACCACTACTTTATCTAACAGGGTCTCTCACTTCTGGTCCATTATGCCACACCCTGCCAGGGCTCCTGCACAGAAACACCAATTGGGGGTTCCCAGTGGAGGTGGGGCGGGGGGAGGAATGACGAGAGTTTGAGACAAAGAAAAGTAGAAGTTCTACTACTCAAGGCCACGTGAGTGAATCTGTCGTAAGTGGAGGGTTTGTCTGGATGAGTCCTGAGATCCAACGCTGGATACACAGGTAACAGTGGGGAGCCTTCAATATCAGGAAGAGGAAATTTTAATTTATCCTGCAGGTAAAAGGACTTCTGAGTTAAGATGGCAGAGTTAGGACAGATCATCTGTATGAACTCAGACAAGGGGACAAAAGTTAACAAATCGATCCATACTTGATGCTCCTAAAGAACACTGCATCAGTATTAATTTATGGAGTCCTCTTTCAAACTGATCTATTCATTCCTCAGTTTTGAGTCTCTTTCTTCCTAATTGTTATAAGGTTGATGGGTCTATTGGCAGCTGTGGTTTCCTCACAGTGTTAGTTCAAGTTTTTCTCATCTGTTTGAAAAAAATTGCTTCTTCTTGCCTTGAATTTGCAATTTTGCCCTGACATGCAATCAGCTGGGCATGCGATGACTTACCATGGGGCCACTCCTGGGAACTGCAAAACTCCCTTCTTCATCTTGGGACCCATCTGACAGGGTAGTAATGTTGAAAGACGCATCATCTGGCTAAATGGAGAAATGAAAGCACCATTCTTATTCAGGCAAATACTTTCTAACATGTTTGTGTATTCCACTATGCGTACGTATTTAGATATGTGTGGCAATACACAGAGTTATGACTGCCAGGGCATGGGCAATTGCACCAGCCCTTCAGGGCTCATCACTGCAAACCACCTAAATGCCTGGCCCTCTGACAGACCCTGGCCCTGTGGCAGACACTGCTCTTGTCTGCCACAAATTCCATTTTCCTTAACAATATCTTGGTTTTGTTCCAGGGAGTGAGGTGTTAAACCAGAGAACTTGATTTCCAGGCTTCTTTGCAGCTAAAAGTGATCATGTGACAAGTGTGGTCAATGAGGTGTAAGTGTAATATTAAGAAGAGTGCTTCCAGAAAAGTTAAGGCTTTCCTGACCAAAAAGAGTAGGGTCAGCTGCTACATGCTCATGACAGCACTCTAGGTGACAGCCTGGAGTTGCCAGGGATCTTGCTCCAATGAGGATGATGGATGGCAGAGATGGCTGGGTCTGTGCTAAGGGGCATTACATGGCTGCCCTGTCACACTTGGACCACCCCCTCTTAAGCATCTCCACGTGAAGCAAAGCAACTCCGACTTTTCTATTACATGCAGCCAAACACAAACTTGTCTAATCTTATTTTTTTTAAACAGACCCTAGGACTATCTTTCACAGTGATTAGAATTCAATAGCAATAGTACCAAATTGTTTTTTCATTTATAAAGCTTGAAGTAGATTTTTGCTTTAGTGTACAAGGGCATTGCTGAAATTTAAGAAATGAATATTCTTTTCTTTACTGAAGGAACCTTATGGCAAAATCGAATATATTCGATACTTATAAAAACATACGATATTTTGTTTTTTAAAAAACTGTCACTCATCTTTCTTGACCATATTTTCTAAATTTTCTATAGATGGTATGTGTTACTTTATAAAATAAACATAGGACGCTTGGGCTTCCCTGGTGGCGCAGTGGTTGAGAGTCCGTCTGCTGATGCAGGGGACACGGGTTCATGCCCCAGTCCAGGAAGATCCCACATGCCGCGGAGCGGCTGGGCCCATGAACCATGGCCGCTGAGCCTGCGCGTCTGGAGCCTGTGCTCCGCAACGGGAGAGGCCACAACAGTGAGAGGCCAGCGTACCGCAAAAAAAACCCAAAAAAACCCATAGGACTCTTTTTTCTTTAAAGGAACAAATAGAACAAAAGATCTAGCACAAGAAATTTAAGTCAAGATGGCAAGCTGACAATCACCTAACTCCCCTCACCCCAAATCACTAAAAATGGCAGAAAACATATATATATATATATATATATATATTTTTTTTTTTTAAAGAAACAGATTGTTAACAGCAATGGAAACCAGCAAAGAATTCCATAGCTGATAGAAATTTCTAGAAGAAAAGCTAATAGAATTGATTTGGTAAAATAAAAACTTCTATTTGAAAATAGCATAAAAGAAAATTTTTTAGAGAGGGAAGAGAAAAATAACAGAATGTACAAAGAGTAGGAAAGGGCCACAGGCAAATAGTTAAGAGCTGTTTACAAAATATAGATAGAGGTCAAGTAGACCATCCCTCTTTAAATATGCAGACAGCCCCTAAATATAACCCTAGAACCGCCCCCCCCAATTCTGCCTAAATAAAATGAACTAACTGCCTTGAGGTGGGTGGGCTCCTAGTTTGAGTACAGTTGACCCTCTGTCTCCACGGGTTCTACATTTGCAGATTCATCCAACCCGGATGGATAATATTTGAAAAAAAATTCCAAGAAATTTCAAAAAAAACAAAACTTGAATTTTGCATATGCCAGTAACTATTTATATAGCATTTACATTGTGTTAGGTATTATAAGTAATCTAGAGGTGATTTAAAGTATTCAGGAGGGTGTGTGTAGGTTATATGCACATACCACACCATTTTATATAAGGGACTTGAGCACACATGGATTTTGGTATCCTGAGGTGTCCTAGAACCAATCCCCCATGGTTACTGAAGGAGGAAGGGTCTAAAAGAGAAGGCACTTGGGAGACCACAACAAAAGAAATGGAGGGGTGACTGAAAATGAAATCGGCTTTGCCTGGATGAAGAATTCTTCATTCCCTTCATCAGTTTTGCATTTGGGGAGTGTTTACTGCACTAACCCACCTGCCCCCTCTACGCATCTTAAAGTTAAGTACACCCCAGTCACTCGCAAAAAACAAACCATCAACAATTTTGGCCTTTTAGTAAAATCAACCTACTCAATTGCAGAGGAAACATACAGCAATTCCCTCCAGTAATCAATCAAAATTAATAAAGACTTGCATTATGATTGCAGACAACTTTAGGGGCCCAGGGATGGTAGTTCCACCTGAAAATGTGCTGGTGTCTTCTGCCTTGTTGAACACTTTCAGCCCTGATGGAGGCTTTGGTGGGTCATCCCACCCTCTTGCTGTGACAGGATCCTGATAGACAGGGGTACGGTGGAGGGACTGCGGAGCTGGACTTGAAAAAACATCCAGGATCCATAGTCTTGGTGAGAAGCTCTCCCTGCACTGTAAGCTTGGGGACACTTGCTGTCACCCGACAGGAGATGTGCGCTTCCCTAATCCGATGGTGCTTGCACATGGGCAGGACTCCACGGCTTGTATCACTTACTGCTATGCATTCCAAAAGCTAGCATGTTCTCCACACAAGATGTTCACATTTGGAAAATAACTGGGAAAAGCTAAATTTTTGTTTCTTAGTTGATACTGAAAATAATGAAAAACAATTTACATGGTAATCTGTTATTTTTCCATATGTGCTCACCCACAAGGACCAAGCTTTAGTTGACAACATCCTCCACTTAGGATACATGTTCAAAAAATTAGTTTCTGTTGTTGTTGTTTCTGCCTGTAGATGCTTTCTTTAAAAGATAGAATTTAGTTATTTTTGATTTACTGAATTATTCCTAGCTGAGTTTAAGGGTTATGGGTGATGGGGCTGAGGGTGGCTTGTTTGCCAACAATCTGAATTATGTTGCATCTTTACCAAAGAGAAATGAGAATATACATCCTTTATACTAAATGAATGTATTGGCGGCGTTATTCGTAATAGCGCAAAACTGGAAACAGTCCACATGTCCATCATCAGGTGAATAGATACACCAATAATAGTATATTTACACAATGGATTATTGTTAGTAATAAAAGGACTACATTTCTAATACACGCAACAAATGGATAAATCTAAAAATTATTCTGAGTGAAAGGAGCCAGACACAAGAGTGCATATTAATCTCAATAGGGTTTGCCTCTGCAGGAGAAGGAGGACTGACTGGAAAAGGCCTGAGAGAAATTTCTTTGGTGATGGAAATGTTTTCTATTTTGACTGACTGTAGTTATATGAGTGAAAACACTTCTTCAAACTGAATTATATACCTAAAATGCATGCACTTTAAAATATATATATATATCAATGAAAAAGACACAGAAATAATCTCATTCCTTACAAATTATATAATTCTTATCTTCAAGGGGCTATTGCTGCTATGAATCAAGAACCTACAGCTACCATAATGGGTAAATCAGAGAGAAAAAAGTTGTTCTTGGGAAATAAGAATATGTTTGCTGAAATGTACAAGGAGTAAGACAAGCTTAAAAAAAAAAACAGAATCATGACCAAGAAAAAAATTACTAATCTGGAAGATAAAGATGAAGAAATCAGAGCAAACAGATTAACAGGAGAGAAAATTTAGGAGATACTGAAATTCAATTCAAGCAAAGCAGGAACCATCTAATATGTGTTCTAGAAGGGGGGAACATAGAAAATGCAGAGAAAAAAATAACTTAAGACATAATAGAAGACAATGTCCAGAAACTGAAGAAAGAAATCAGTTCTCAGAAAGAACTCACTGAGCAGTCACCAAGATGAATGAAATAAGGGGCTGATTCTTGTGAAAGTTCAGAATTCCAGCAATAAATTCAAAAAAGTTGTAGAGAGGGCAAACACAAAAAGCTTATTTATAAAGGAATAAGGTTCAGGCAACCAAAGAAGAGAAAAGAAACCCAGATTGTCATGTAAGAGTGCAAGAGTAGGTCAATGAGCAATATGAGAAATGCCACTGTGCAGGTTCTCCAGGAGAGCTAAGGTTTTCTGTTAACAACGAACAGTCACTTGGCACATGTTCCTAATGGGATCCAGAGTTTGCTAACCATCTTGTAAGTTTAAGGATTAAATCCACATGTTATGGTGGCAGCGTGAAAGGAAAAAGTTAGAAGTTTCGTGCTAAGGTTGGCAGTGCATTGCACTGCAGTTGTACTAGCCTTGGTTTATCCACCATTAGTTGCTCACTTTGTGATTAAAACAAACTCCTACTTGTTTAAACCAAGGTTCCTTAGATTTTCTTTACTACAGAGCAAACACAGATGCAATTGATCATTTTTAACAGAAGGTATGATTGTATTTTGCAGTGAATTATAAATCAATAGCAAATGTAGCTATTTGAGTTTGACTTAAGACATTGGAAATAAACTAGATGGAAATAAACTAGATCGACTACTTTGCCTTTGAGTTAACTAACACCTCTAATGACTAATTCATTTATGTTGACTACACATAAGGAAAATGTTTCTTTTATCTATACAAGTGATTTGTAGAGTAGTTTGTAAGGACTGTAGACTGGGTTGTAAGCCTTCTGTACAGGTTGTAAATTTTCTGTAATCTTTTGTAAATGCCCAGATTTAGTTGCATTTGTGATCTAGAGTCAAGATTCAACCATGTATAATATATAGACAATGGACAATCATCTATATTATAATAGAAAATTCCTTTATTGTAAGTAGCTTATTGCAAAATAAATGTGTTGGATATTAAAGAAATCATAAAATATTATATGGAATCTTTTGTAAAGGTTTCTTGAGATAGATTATAAAGTATACAATTTGATGAGTTCTGACAAATACATAGACCTATGAAACCATCACCACAGTCAAGACAATGAACAAAACCAGCACTCCCCAAATGTCCTCACGCCCCTTTGTCATCCCTCCTTCCCTCTCCTCCTCACCAACCCCTAGGCAATCACTGATCTTCTTTCCCTCACTATAGGTTATTTACATTTTCTGTAATTTCATATAAATTGAATCTTTTTTGTCTGGCTTCTTTCACATGGCATAATTACTTTAAGATCCATCCATGCTTTGTATATCAAATGTTCATTGCTTTTTATTGCTGAGAAATATTCTATTGTATGGATATATCACAATTTGTTCATATATTTAGCTGCAGGTAAAACTGGGTTCTTTCCAGTTTGGGGCTATTAAGCGATAAACTTTTGTGGATAAGTCTTCGTATGAATATATATTATCTATGAGTAGAATGGCTGGGTCTATATGGAAGGCATGTGCTTAATATTTTAAGAAACCACCAAATTATTTTCCAAAGCGGATGGACCATTTTACATTCCTACCAGCAATGTATGAGAGTTCCAGTTGCTCTGCATCCTTAGCACCAGTCGATATGGTCAGCTTTTTAAATTTCAGCCATTCTACAGGGTATGTAGAGCTATCTCATCATGGCTTTATGTGCACTTCCATAATCACTAATGATACTGAGCACTTTTCATAAGATGATTCACCAGCCAAATCTCTTTCTTGGAGAGGTGTCTATTCAAATCTTTTGCCCATTTTAAAAGATGAGAAAAGACCAAACAAAATTTTATCACTGGAAAGCTCCAACTATGTTCTTGAAACAGAAAGTTGATTTGTTTTCAAAAGTAGAGGATTTGTGTGATAAAGTCGAAGGAACTAGGACTTCCCTGGTGGCCCAGTGGCTAAGACTCTGCACTCCCAATGCAGGGGGCCCGGGTTCAATCCCTGTTCAGGGAACTAGATCCCACATGCATGCCACAACTAAGAGTTCGCATGCTGCAACTAAAAGATCCTGCGTGCCGCAAAGAAGATCCCACGTGCCACAAGTAAGACCCGGCACAGCCAAATAAGTAAATAAACATACAAACAAATAAATAAATGTTATTAAAAAAAAAAGGCGAGGGAACTAAAGCTTGGAAATACCAGCAGAGAAAAAACTGTGGATAATTTTAATATAAAAAGAAAGAGTTGGGGCTTCCCTGGTGGCGTAGTGGTTAGGAATCCACCTGCCAATGCAGGGGACATGGGTTCGAGCCATGGTCTGGGAAGGTCCCACATGCCAGGGAGCAACTAAGCCCGTGCACCACAACTACTAAGCCTGCGCTCTAGAGCCCACGAGCCACAACTACTGAGCCTGCGAGCCACAACTACTGAGCCCATGAGCCACAACTACTGAAGCCTGCGTGCCTAGAGCCTGTGCTCCGCAACAAGAGGAGCCACTGCAATGAGAAACCCATGCAACGCAATGAAGAGTAGCCCCCGCTCGCCACAACTAGAGAAAGCCTGCGCGCAGTAACAAAGACCCAACACAGACAAAAATAAATAAAATAAACTAATTAAAAAAAAAAGAGTTATGTATTATTTCTGTAAAAAATAGGGATTATATTCTGGAATAAAATGGGAGAGTTAAGTCAATGACCAAGCCTTTCTCTCCTAAAACCTAGTAGAGTCAACAAAACATAATGAAAAAAAGAAAAAAGAATCCCAGCAACATTCACACGAGTGGTGGTCAGAGAGAAATATTCCAGGAATAATGTAAATTCTTTTCCAAAATCCGCCTCCCTCCTAATCAAATGGAGACACTTTTGAAATAGACAACTACTATCTCCTCCAAATCATGAGGGAAAACAACTGAAGGTGTGAGAAACCACATCTGGGGTCAATATGAGCAGAGCCCTTGAAACTCAGTCTCTCCCCAACACCATCTCAGTAGGGAGGAGGGAACCTATTGGATTCACCATTTTGCTTTTTTCTACCTGGGAGGAAGTTAGGGGAGGGAATATGAGGATGGAAAAATTAAAGGAAAGGTAGAGTACATAAGCTCCACCAAGGGAGAGAAAAGATAGCTTAGGATAGAAGTGCAAGTAAAAACAGACGTGAGAACAGGCTCTGGCTAAACCATAAATAAAGCAATCTTTCCCGTTTGTAAACTGACAAAAGCTGGATCTTTCTCCCAACGTTTGCCTGACTTTGCCCTCCTCTGGGTTAAGTGGGGAGTGGAAGTGGCTCTGGGGAAAAGCAGGGGGATGGGGAAGGGGAGGGCGCTAGACACCTAGGGTGAAGAGTGTGGTCAGAACTAAGATGCCTGGTGTTCGCCCTGCACCAGGGAAGCAGTGGACAACCTGAGGGCACCTACTGCTGTCCTGTGACCTGATGTCCATAGCTGGTGGAGCTGTGACTCAATGGAACCAACACTCTTATGAGAATTTTTCAAAATAAACGAAAAATGGAAAGGAACTAAATCTGTCATAAAGAAATGCCTACCATCGTTGGTTTTCTGGGTTTGTATCTGTTTTAATAGAGCATGTAGTTGTTTGTGGCTTTAACTATTAAACTCGGGTCCATTTACTGCTGAATGGCTTCCTACAAATCAAATAAAAGTAGATAGGCATGTTGACAGCTGTAGTTGTCCAGCCACCTGAATTATGTTGCCTTGTTTTGAAGTTTTGCATGATTGTCTTGAAGGAACGGCTTCTTTTTTCATCCCTAACCCCAGTTCTCCTGCTATCACTTACCAAGGAACCACTTGTTTTGATAACTCCCGGCAGCTCTTTTTCCTCCTGGGTGTCGTCCAACTGACTAGGATGGTTGTCACAGGTATCGCCTGGCTAATGAAAGAAATGAAAGTCATTTTTATCCAGGCATATCTTTCACTATGTGATTGTTTATTCAATTATACATTACACTAGAATCTGTATAAATGCACAGCCATGTGGACATACACAGAGTTAATGACTACAGTGCAATTGGTAGCATTCACCAATTCCTCCAAAAGGATATTGAGCCTCATAAATATCATGCACTGCAATAGAAATGAGCCTCGAAAGCAAACACTGCTACCTGCCTGCCAAAACCCACTTTTCTTTTCTTCTTTAACATATGAATATCATGATCTTGCTCCAAGATGCTGCGTGTCTATCTAAAAGGACTAAGTGTGATCATGTGATGTTTCCGTCCAAAGAGATTCGAGTAAAACCCTACTTGGTAGAGTACCCAGGAAGGCTAATGTTTTCTTGTTGAAGTGCATGGAATCAGCTAGCTGATGCTTCTCCCAGAACATGGGCATGGTACCTGTGATGCCCAGACGTCCTGTAAGCATTAAATACTAGCCTGTATGCTGAGTGGAACAGAATGGAAAGATAAAAAACAGAATGGAAAGAGGGATATTAGTCAAGCCAGCCACAGACGTCTTATTTTGTAAGGAAAATAAACCTCTAATTGTCTAAGTCAGGAAGCTTACTGATTAAACTATGCTACTTCAAAATCAGACTTTATGACTGTATTTTGGAGTGATTTAAAAATCAAAAGCAAGGGTATTCAGGGTTTTTTTCATTATGAACTGGAAAAACATTAGACTGATTATCTCACAAACACATATGACTGAACCAAATATTTCATTCCCATCACTGAGTATTGGAAAAGCTCTGATTTTCACTACGCAGCAAATGGATTTGAGACTATTCTAATTGTGATGTGCTGCACTATAGGCCTTGTGCATATGCTCTAAGATTTTTAGCAGCATTTGTGATATAATGGCATTTCCCAGAATAAGATGCAAATATTCTACTCCATGATTAACGCAACTTTTTGCAAAATTCAGCATACTGGATATTAATGAAATAAACTTTTACATGAGACCTTAGAAACATTTTTCATCCGGCTTTTCCATATTTTCTAACTTTCCCCCAATGTGTATGTATTATATTGCTATGAAGAACACACATCTCTTTGGAAGGGGAAACAATGCTGAAAAGGCAGTACAAGAAAACTTAGGTCAGGATGGAGGTCAGAGAGTGTACCACTCTCAATCACTCAGAATTAGAGAAAGGGCGTATTTTTTAAGTATAGCTCCAAGAGCACTGAAAACCAGCAAAGTGTTCTAATAACACATTAAAAATTGTCAGAAATTCCTGGAAAATAAAAAGTAAGTAATTTATTTCATAATTGTAAAGAAATTCTCAGCCTAAGGATAGCATAAGGCAAAGAAAGGGCAAATCCACAAAAAAGCAAACAGACAAACAACCAATCTTAGAGTGACAACCACACAGGACAAGAAGGGGCCCCAGGGCAATGGCTAGGATAATTTATTGTAAAGTGTTTCCTTAATGGAAGGGCCCGACCGAACTCCCAACAGTTCCCTTTACACTGAACAGCAGACAGCAGCCACGTATGGACCCAAGGAAAGCACTCTGAATGAAGTGAACTACCTGCCTTGGGAAGATGCCCAGGGTTGGGACCAAAACAGACCTCAATATCAGGTCACTCTGGACCTTCATGAAAGACATGGATGGGAGAATAAAAGGAGAACATGAGTTTTGTCTGGGAATGATGTCATTTGCCACTCTCCCTTTGGCATTGAAGGTACATGCATGCGTGTATTTGTGTGTGTACGTGTGTATGTACATGTGTCTACGCATGCACACATGCACGGACTCACCCATGTGTGCCGTTAAAATAACATCCATTCACAGACTGCTCACATACCTTACTGCTTACACAGGACCCAAAGTCAGCCCTCTTATTCAATAAAGAGCCCTTTGGGAAAATATCTATATAATGGCAGAGAAATCATACAGCAATGACATATCCTAAAAGTCGTTAACTAGTCAATCCAGACCATCACTAAGGATCATCAGCCACTGGAGAAAAATCAACACTATAAAAAAGTCAGCTGTGGAGAAAATCAACATTTTGAAAAATAAGTATAGTGATATACATTCTGGGAGAAAGATAATTGAGGGAAGAGAAAAAGGCTTATAATGATTTAATAATTTCAGAGAGATCTGAGAGACTATTGCAATCATAAATCAGGACTAACTATAACAATAAAGGGTAAATCAGTGAAAAAAGGAGGAGTTCTTATGAATTAACAGTATGATCGCTGAATTTAAAAATCAACAGGGACCCAATTATAACCACTCATGACAAAAATGAGAATTAGGTTTCCACAAAATGATGTAGACAAAATCTGCTAGCATACAGAACAAACGGAAAACAAAGACATGGGAAATATAAGAGACAACTTAAGAGCTGTGTGAGTTTAATGTAAGAAATGAAAAGAAGAAGAGAGAAAATGGAGATAATGAAGTAAAAGAAATAATGGGAAAAGAATGTTCAGAACTGAAAGGAAACATGTTTCAGAAACAAAAAGCTGACTGCTGGATCATGTTAAAAAAAAAAAAAAAGATTTCATATCCTGATGGCAGTTCAGGTCTCTAACAACAAAGATAAACCTAAAAGCTTCCAGAAATATAAAAATGAGAGCAGGATGCAAATAAAGGAATGATTTAGAGAGGCATCAGGCTTCTCAACATTAACACTATATGAAAAGCAAATAGATTAATATTTACAAATTTCTGAAAGAAAATGATCAACAGCCTAGCACACTGATACTAACCAGTTTAGGATTTAAGCTTTTTAGTTATTAAAATTTAGTATCCAGAGATATTTCTTGCCAGATTTGCTCAAAGGATAAGAGATGCAATCTGCTAAGAAGATGTAACAGTTTGTAATATATGTGATTATGGAAATTAGTATTTCTACTCTTCTCTGTGGTCATTCTGGCGGGCTAGCCCTCATCCTCCTCCAGGGATAAAAGCAGTACTGCTTTCTCATTCTATAGACTGGTGAGTAGTTCAGGGGTGTGGCTGGAATACAACTTAATCGTTCTCGTTCACCTCAGTGGGAGATTTCTTCATGTGTTTCGTCACCACACTTGCCTTTAACCTTTAAAAGATGACAAGACCATCAAAGAATTGAAATAAAAGGGATAGTGATAAAAGAGAAAAGAAACAAAATAAGCATAGACTCATCATGAGAGTCCATGGCTGGACGTGGAGTGTCAATGAGGCAACAAGATCTAAAATAAGACTCACTCTTACACGTTGCCTTGACATCCGGTAAAAGCGGGAGGGCCGTAAGTGGTCTAAGCCCAAGTTCCCCTCCCACTTTGCTCCCTCAGATAAGGTCCCCTAGTAAGACAACACTCCTTACTCAGGGGGCCAGACACAGTTCTTGCTTATCCCTGAGTAGTGGGTTTCAGTTTCCTGTCCACCCATGGAATTATTCAAACAAGCCAATCCATCCTCTGTGAGAACCAAGGGGGCACTCCCCCTCTTGATACTACAAAGCCTGGTTGTTCACTCTGTTCCCAAGTGCACCCCACATGTGGCTCTGTATGGTGTGTGGTGTCCTCCCTCCCTGGGCTGTGAGAACATGTAATAAATTGCTGTTGTCTCATTTTTCCAGTGTCAGGGGTCATGTGCTGAGCCATCCCTATAACCCCAGGGTGAAGAGGAGGCAATCAAAACAGTAGGTAGAGGCAGGTGAGGTGAAAAGCTCATAGAAATCGTTCTTTGAAAACACCCCGTGTCTACTCTGACTTGCCCCTCCTCTAGCTGAGAGAAGAGGTAGTGGCTGCTGTGAAGGGGAGAGGGCGGGCAGAGAGGAACAAATGCCTGGATCAAGTGTCCTGGCCGGAAGGATGGTATAGAAGACTCCCTGAACCGAGGGAAAAATCTTCCAACTCAACAGAAAATGTAAAGACCTCTGACTAGACAGAGTTCACACTGTTATGAGAAATGCAGTGAAATTAGAAAAAAATTAGAGACAAAAATCTGAAAACAGGATTGCTCACAGCCCCAGCTGACCACCCTCCACCTCCAGACCTTGACCTACCCTCAGGCAACAGAAGAGCAGCCAGAACACAAACTGGCCACATCCAAACCCTTGAGCAGAATTTTGGAAGGGACCAGGGGCTAGCCTGTATCGAGACAATTGCAAGATGTGGACAGAGTGCCCCACATAAAATATATGCAAGATGAAAGTAGACTGTAGAGAATCTAAACATCATCATCTCATCATCAATCAGATCAAGAATGGTACAGGGGTTACTCTTAGAACAACAAAGAATCCCTCTTCCTCTGCTAGGAAAGAAAATAAAGAGCTAAAGAGAAGGAAACACACAGAAGCATGATAGAGGAAGGTCTCTTACTGTAAATTTTCTGCTGCCATGAGTCCAGGTGGAGGAAGATGTCAGGAACCCATGTCCTTCTCAGGGTGAAGGGTCACCACTTCAGTAAGAGGACTCAGGCCTCATGCCAGGAGGTACAGATCACAGCATGAGATTCATCTCTTTCACTGAAATAGCTTCACTGACAGTTTGGAACTCAGATCATCACTCTTTGAAATTTGCACTAAACTGGGTGAGGTGGGCTCTAGATAAAACGTGTTTACCTCCTGTGCAAGATTGTGCACTTTTCCCACTTATTGTTACACGTTCAAGATGCTATAGTGCTGCGTCCCACAATATATTTACATTTAGAAAGTAACTTAAATGTCAAAATATTTCTTACAGTGACAATTAAATTAATTTTGAAAGATTTACAGAAGGTAGCATAAAATTTTCCACTATGCACTCAGCAAAGAGAACAATAGTTTAGCTGATGACCTCCCACATGTACTGACTTCTGGCTGTGGCTGCAGCTGCAGCTGTGATTGTTTTTGTTATTGTAGGTACAAGCAGGCCCCATAGAATTTGCGGATTTAACTATTTAATCATTCATTCCTGAGTCTGAGTCCCCTTTTTTCTTCATTGTTACAAGGTAAGTAGGCTTTTTTTTTTTTTAAACTTTCCAGGCTGCCTTGAATTAACCACTTCTCCTGATCCCCTTGCTCTGTCTTACCAGTTGACCATTTCTGCAGGGAACTGCTGGCATCCCTTCTTCATCTGGGTTCACATCCAAAAGAGGAGCTGGGATACAACAAAAATCATCTGCCTATTGAGAAAAATGAAAGTGCATTTTTATTCAGGCATGTTCTCCCAAGGGTAACTGCATTTAATCACGTGTTACGCATACGATGTGCACATTCATACAGACATGTTGAGACACCCACAGACATGACTGCCTATGCACTGATCACTGCATTTGGCCACTTAGCAGCCAGTCCTGGGAGCTCACCACACACCAGGCCCGGTGACAGACACTGGTACGTGTGGAAGATCCTGTCAACCGCCTGCCCCAAACCCAGTCACCTGTCTTCCTTAATAGGATCCTGATTTTTTTTTTTCAGGAACTTTTGTGTACAATGAAAAAATATCAATTTCCCAGGCTCTCTTGCAGCTAAGTATGATTGTATAACATTTCTAGGCAATGAGAGGTAACTGGAATTCTACCAAGTAAGATTTCTGGGAAACTGAAGTCAGAGAGATAGAGTCAGTTGGTACAAGCTCCAGGAACCACCAGGAACATGGGCATGGTGGCAGGAGTGGCCCAGCCCCCTTGGCAAGCAAAAGAATGAAGGCCACATGTGAAAGATAAAATAGAAAGATGGAAGGAAGCTGGATCTACGCTAAAGCAAAGATCAGTTTCCACTGAAAGAGAGAAAAAACAAATTCATATTTGTATAAACTCATGATTTCTTGGGTTTTCTGGGCCATGAAGTCAAATATATATGTGTGATATAACATTTTTTTAAGGACTGTATGCCTATATTTATACAGTTAATTATGAGTTAGTCCCACCTTTAACTGTTTATCAATTATGAAATTGGAAATATATTAGATTGACTATTTTGCTCAATTAAATGTGTTACTGAAGGTAATAACTGATTCACATCTTCTGAATATTAGAAAAAATCTGTTTGAGCACTGAACTTCTGCTCATGATGAAATGGACTGTAGACCTTGCATTATGTATCCAAAGGGTGATTTAATATCTGTGATTTAGTGTATAAGAGCTCTACCAAAACAAGGGTTAAATATTCTATTCTTTTATGGTTAGAATTTCACTGAAAATTATATTCATTGGATATTTAATTAAATCGTAAAATTTTATTTGGGCCCATAGAAATTCTCATTTTTTACCTCGCTTGTCCATATTTTCTAAGTTTCCATTAAAGACGATGTATTACTTCTATAATAAGGGAAAAAACACATTTTTTGAAAGGAACAAATACTACTGAAAAATCAACATAGGAAAATTGGATCAAGATATCACAATGCACATACCACATTCTCCTCCCCCTGCAAATCACTCAAAATGTCAAAGAGATACCTTTCTCAAAGAGTAGATCTAGAAACCACTAAACATTTCCATTAGCAGAACAGAAATTGTTGGATGCTTCTGGAAGATAAACAGCAAGCAAGAGCGGTTTGATAAGGGTAGAGAAAAACTTCGGCCTGAAAAAAGGTATAAGAGAAAAATGTGTGGAAGGTAAATGCTGATCCAGAAAAAGCACATATCCAGAATGAAAATAAAAACAGCAGGAAGGCATTGCCCAATTCAGAAGGCAACAGCTGTTTAGAAGAACAGCAGGTAGCAGCTAAATGTAATTCCAGGATAAAACCCAAGTGTCCCCTTGGTGACAGAGTGACCACCTGCCTTGGGAATGGTAGTGGCTGTCCTAGTATGGGTGCGGTGGTCCTGGATAGAAAGAATGTTGAATTGCACTTTCTTGGGGCCTTCTAAAAGGATATAGACAGGAGTATAAAAAGGAAAGTTGGGTTTGCCTGAAAAGGAAACAAATTATGATTCTGCAGGATCTTGTTACTTTGGCATTGATACCATATTTATTTCTTAAAGTGAAGTGTGACAGTTGACACTGACACACTTCACCACTCACACAGGCCCAGACTCCTGTTTTGGGGGAGAGTTTTTGGGAGAAAACGGGTCTACATAACTGCATAAGAAATATATGACCACTACCTATACTAATCAATCAGTCAATCTAGTTCTCCATTAATGAATATAAATCAATATCCAAAGATTAAAGTTAATTGAACAATAGCAATGTAATGATGCCAAAAATAAACAGATGACCCTGAAGGAAAGAGATAATTCAAGGAAAAAAAGAGAACCTTGGAATTTAAGGTTTAATTTAATACCTTCAGAGTGCTGAGAGGCTACTGCGGCTGAGAAACAAGAACAGATCACAAAATAAAGGAAAAATTAGGGGAAAGGAGGGGCTTCAGCAAGTTCATAAGAGGACTATTAAAGTTTTAAAAATTAATGAAAGGTAAAAGTGTTAATACAACCAAGGCCAAATTAATGATATAAAAGATGAAGTTGAAGGGCCAGCCGAGAATGTAGAGCAAACATACACACAAACAAAGCTTGGAAAATAGGACATTTAAGAGATATTGAGATTCAATCAAAACAATGAAACAATCATCTAACAACAATCATCTAATATCCAGAAGGAGACAGTGAGAAAATGAAGGGAATAAATACTTGTTTTAAACGTTAGAAGAAAATATGCAGAATGAACAAGCTGAAGAATGAAAGAGCTCACTTGTAGTGACCAGGATGAATTTTTTTAAAAAGGAAAACTGCTAAAATTTCAAGGTTCCAACAATAAAAAGTGAACTTCACAAAGCTTCCACATTTGTATATAAAGGAATGAAGTTGATGTAGATATTGTGCTTCCCCACAGCAATGGTGTGTGAGAGAAGATAACAGACAAATATTTTCAAAATTCTGAAGAAAAATGATTTTGAACCTGGGATTCTATATGCAAAAAATTAAGAAAAAAACTAGGATAATCTACATATTTATTTTTTAAATTATTTATATCTTCATTTGGTGAGTATAATGGGTCAGATTCATAATTCTAAGATTAATGCAAAATTACCTAATGCAACTTGTAATGTTAAAACTTCATTAAGAAAATGGAATGGAAACTTTATGTAATTGTTCTATTAATGTAGGTAAACGATGACAAAGACAGAAATAAAGAATAGGAGAGAATAAGGAAGGGAGAGCGGGGAAGAGAAGAAGGAGGAGGAGGAAGGAACTGGTATTCATGACGTCAAATTCAAATCGGAAACTTAAAAGTTTAGGTACATTTCTAAGAACCTCCAAGTCTATTTACCTGCAGAAGCAGATCCTGAAGTTTTTAGGAAAACACAATCTTGTGGAAATGTTTATTAGGACTTACATATTGTAAATATACCATATTTTTAAAAGGCTGGCTTTATATGGCTTTTTACATTTTTGACAAAGAACAATGTGAATTTTTAAGCAGCATAATACAATGCCAGGCTTTCCCTGACTTCCAGATGCCCCACTTCTCAGGACAGCACAAGACCTCTACTCCCTGGAATATATGGTCATTCTTTTACCTGTGACAACTCCCCCTGCCTCATTCCCCATTCTCTCTAGAACTGGGGCTTCCGCAGCAAGACTGGGGGGTATGTGGGAGAAGAGGAGGGTAGACAGGAGGAAGAGCCCCCGGGGCTACTCCCCTTGCCCACCAAGAATGCGGCCCTCTCTCTGCCTTTGCTGGAGTTAAACACCGGTTTATTGCACTTACATGTTACGGAAAAGTAAGACTCTTCATTTCATTTTATACTTAAGCCCTAATGTGTTAAGTGCCCACCTTACGATTCCCTTCAGGGTCCGAGTGAAAGAAATGGGAGAAGCGCTGCTTCTATGTGACTATAGCGCAACGTTTTGGGAAACCTAGAGAGGCTAGTTATGCATTTTCTTGAGTAACTGGAGGATTCAGGAGAAGCTATAGACCCATATTTTGCAGTTTGCTAGGGAAGAGGAAAAATCTTAGTCTGAAGTAGCTGGAAACAGAAATGAGGAAAGGACGCATGTAGGCCAAGTTCTTAGGATTCTCTCAAGATGATCTGGGAGATAACTGGAAAATGACCCAGGGAATTTAAACCTGCAGGGTAAACCTTTTCTTTGATAGGCATCTTGTCCAGGACTCATGTGGCTGGAGCCCTAGCCTCAAGCTGCGGGCATCACCTTTACTCAGTTAACAGCTTGAGACAATCTCACCTTCCAAGAAGACCCAGGTTTCAACTAGGCTGAAAGTTCAAACAGCGTAGAACTCAAAATGGCTTACCTTGAGTATATATCGTTATATACAGCAGAGGATTCTAGAACTGTGTTCATTATACTGGCTACAAGCCACATGTGACATTTTAGATTCAAATCAATTACAATTAAATACAATTAAATTTTTAGTTCCTTACTTACACTAGCTACGTTTCAAGTGCTAATGCCACATGTGATGGGGGCTTCCATATTGGACAGCACAGAAATAGATCATTTCCATCACCGTAGAAAGTTCTAAAGGACAGCGCTCTTCTAGGACATTGTAAACACAAATACAAAGCTTAACTTTGTATATGTGAGCTGCCCTGGCAACACCCCACTGTGATTAATGTATCTAAGAGAAGATTTGACTTACAGACAACCTAAACTAACTCAAATTAGAGACTGTCTTCAGTTATGCCAGCTACCCAATATCCTTGAAGTTTTAATTTATGTCACTATTGATATTACAATTAAACAGATGAGAAACCTAAATCAAAGTGATTAACCAACTTGCCCCAGGCAACTTTACCTGTGACTGCAGCAGAATATCAAGTTCCCCTTTTCCTATATATGAATTACCCCAAAGTTCCAAGAATCCTATCGGCATAGAACCTGATATAAGAATTGCACAGAGAATGTATCCAGTAATTATCTGTTGCATCAATGACGCAATTATTTCAATGCAACACTGCAATGATGCAATAAATGGATGAATGAGTGAACTGTAAAGCAGAGCTACCAGTAAAACAACCACAGAAATAGGAGGACATGACTCAGCCTCAGAAGTAAAACTGTGGCCGTGGAATAGCCAAGGGTATGCTGGCATTTCAACCAGCCATTTCTCAGAAAACGTGTGATGCTTCCCTCATGGTTTTTTGAATCATTCTCTGGCTCATTTGATTAATGCTGTATATTTCACTTTTCATCATTTTAATTTCTTTGAACATAAAGGGTACCCTAACCACTCTCCCATCCCCACCCCCAATTAAAACAAACTACACAGACTTGCACATAATAGTTGGGCCCACTTCTCTGGGACTCCTTTGCCTGTCCACAGAGTTTCCATTCAGTGCTGAGGTTTAAGTAAAGGCTCCGTGTATCTCATCCACAAAGACTTGCTCCATTACCAAAGAAGCGATCAACTTCAAAAGAAAGGAATAAATTTTGTGTGCGGGGAGACTGCTGTATGGGGAATAAGAAATAATCACTTAAGTTCCAAATTTGCAAAAATTTTGCAGTTTGCTGTCTGCTTTACTTTTCTCTTAAAGCTAGAAGATGATTGGCCTTTTCTGATAATTTTTCCACATTCCCCTTCCCTCCCCTCAAGCAAACCAAACCTTTTGAGCCCTGTTCACTACTTACAGGAGATTCGCTGACTCCAAAGATGTCTCTGACATCCCTGATGGATTGCTTGTTCTTTTTTCTCATGGTTTGAGTGTAAGTATTATATCTCTTCTTCACTGCAGCTGCTTGGGTTCGAGTCAAAGTTGAGAGCAAGGCTTTGCCACCCTCCTCTTCATCACCCGAGATCAGGGTTGATAAACCTACATCTTGCAACCACTCTGCTTCAAGTTCTCCTTCTGTAAGATGAATTTACCAAGAGAAGGTTAGAATATTCTGAGATTGGAAGCCATGCATATCTGTAAGTCTGTACACATCAGCAAGTAAGAAATAATCACTATACAATATATTAAGACCATCCTGGACCTTGAGGACATTATGCCAAATGAAATAAGTCAGACAGAGAAAGAAAAACACCAAACACCATATGATCTCATTATATGTGGAGTTTAAAAACAAAACAAAGCAAAATGTCCGAGCTCATAAATATAGGGAACGGATTGGTGCTTACCAGAGGCCAGGGGTGGAGGGTGGGCGAAATGGGTAAAGGTGGTCAAAAGGTACAAACTTCCAGTTATAAAATAAAATAAATAAGTCATGGGGATGTCATGTACAGCATGGTAACTATAGTTGATAATGCTCTATTGCATATTTGAAAATTGTTAAGAGAGTAGGATCTTCAAAGTTCTTACCACAAGAAAAAACATTTTGTAACTATGTGTGACGATGGGTATTAACTACACTTATTTTGGTGACTGTTTCACAATGTATTCAAATATCTAATCATTATGTTTATACCTGAAACTAATATAATATTGTATGTAAATTAAACCTCAAAAAACTTTAAAAGACCATTCTTTTTCCTATAGTAATTGTGGGAACGGCCTATAGGAATGAATAAAAGGTCTGTACTGTATTTTTTTAAGTAAGTCAAATTTTTAAAGTATCTTCTAGTAGAGTAAGGTTATTTGGCAGATTTGGGAAGGTAATTTTCCTTACCAGAGAGTTAAATATAAGCCATATCTGAACAGCCAATTTCAAAAAATGATAAAATATTAATATCTAAACTAAAACCATGACAGAAAAAATGTGGTTTAATGGCACACAAAAGAATTTTTTAATCACACAAATTCAGGTTCAAATCCCAACCACCATTTACTAACTGAATGACTTTGGAGAGTTTTAAGTATCTCTAGATCTTGTGTCCTCTTGGCAAAATGGAGGTAATAATCACCAAAGTATTAGGTGGCTATGAGGATTATTTTATCAATGAATTTGTGACAGATGGCAAAAATCTAGAACAGAGTATGTGTTCAATAGATATTCGTTCTCTTACTTTTCTCCTTATTTTGAACATTAGGTGATCTTTCCTTTTCTCAGAAGGCAGCTAAAAAACTTAAAATTCATCATGATGAAGATCAATCGCTATTATAAATTAGATGTGTGGAAATACTAAAGAATTCAGAATAACAGCATCATGTAACAGAAAATCCACTGCACACACTATAACATTCTGGGAACTATGCTAAACAGGCATTACCTGAATAAGGTTTCTTTTAAAGAGCAGAATTGACTGGTTTGCAAGTACACTATCAAATCATCAGTCCAGAGGCGTTGGACTCTGCTTATGTTATTCTACCACTGGCACATGAACAAAAGCCTTCCCACATGCTTTACAAGAAAATGAGAAAACTTTTTAAACTGAATAATAATGAAAATATGAAATATCAAAATTTGTGGGATGGAGTGAAGTCACAAAGGAAAAAGTAAAACTGTCTCTATTCACAAATGATCTCTTTGTTTATGTAGAAAATTCTAAGAAATCTAGTAGTAGACAACTCCTGGTAAGTCAATTTAGAAAGGTAATGAAATATAAGGTCAAGTACAAAAATCAATTGTACTGCACACCAGTTGCAAACAATTAAAAAATGAGAGAGGTGAGAGAACAAGAGAGAGACACCCAATTAAAAGAAATAGTGAAAAGATTTCACAAAGCAAGATATATGAATGGACAATAAGCACAGGAAAAAGCATTTGACATCATTAGTCATCGGTGAAGTATAATTACAACCACAATGAGATACCTCCACACATCCCTAGAATCATTCATGTTAATAAGTCTTAAAAAATCAAATGTTGCAAGGATGTGAAGCAGCTAGACTTGTCTGTCAGATACTGCTGGGAGAAGTGTGACGTGGTACAACTACTTTGTAAAAATGCTGGCAGTTTCTTATGTAATTACACATATTCTATGAAAAATACATATATCCAAGAGAAATAAAAATGTATCTCCACCGAAAGACTTCTACAAGATTGTTCACAGCAGCCTTATTCATAATGGCCAAAACTGCAAACAAGCATTAACAGTTAAATGTATAGACAAATTATGGCATATTCATACAACAGAATACTGCTGTCATGGGTTGAATTGGGTCCCCAAAAAGATACACTGAAGTTCTAACCACCAACACAGGTGAATGTAACCTTATTTGGAAACAGGGTCTTGGCAGGTATAATTAGGATTTAAGTTGAGGTGAGGTCATACTGGAGTAGAGAGGGCCCTTGATCCGATATAGCTAGTGTCCTTATAAGAAAAGGAGGTGAGACACAGACAACAACACAGGGAGTAGGCTACGTGACTACAGAGGCAGAGAATGGCAAGTGTTGTCTACAAGCCAAGGAACAGCTAGGATTGCTGGCAACACCAGAAGCTAAGAGAAAGACATGGAACAGATTCTTCCCTACCATCTTCAGAGAGAGGAGGGCCCTGCTGACCCCTTGATTTTGGACTTCTAGTCTGCAGAACCACAAGAGAACAGATTTCTGTTGTTTTAAGCCACCTAGTTCTGTGGTACTTTGTTACAGCAGTGCTAGGAAACTAATACAAACTATCCCATAATAAAAAGCAATGAAATAGTAATACACCAAATGAATCTCAAAAATATTATGTTCAGTGAAAGAAGCCAAACCCAAAACTATATGCTGCAAAAACATCAGAACCTTGGTTGTCTCTGGCTAGGGACAGCAAGTCACGGGGATGATGAGATTGGGAAAAACCATGAGGAAATTCTGAGCTGACTGAAATGTTATGTCGATTTGTGTGAGGTTACAGGGTTAGTATTTGTCAAACGTCACTGAATTGCACACTTAAGATCTAGGCATATGCTTCAAGGAAAACAATATCAGTCAAATAAATTTTGAACTCCAGTTAGTAAGTATGCTTTTTGTAGAAGTTTATGTTAGCAAGCCTGAGAATGTTTTCTGTATACTCTAGGCTTGAGCAAATGAAAAAGTACATTGAGGAACAGGTTTGTCATTATTGGAGAAGGGGGTTATAAATACAGAAAAGTGGAAGACAACAAACTTTGTGGCGTTGGATTGGAATTGGAGGTTATCAGTACGAACTCATGATTTTTAATATAGACAGCTAGCTAGCTAGTAAGAAAAAAGAAGTGGAGAATAAGAGGTATTTTCCTTTATGTGTCTTTCTGGATCTGAAAAGGCAAAATGTAAGTATGTAAGGAGAAGGAATAAAAATATCCTTCTCTGATGCAGGACAGTTCCCTTGAATGGATTTTCATTAAATCTGTGGTGGGACTTTTTATTTCTAATGCTAAGTGAAATATACTAATTGTGGTACATCTGAACTATTGTTTTTCAGATCTAAGAAGGATAGGCTTGTAGAAAGGGAATAAAGAAAAAAAAGTTTTTTAAAGTTTCAGTTTATCTTGATAGTTGTCTTGAGGTTAATCACTGGCTAATGAAAACATTCTTAGATACTTGCTAAACTACCTTCAGTCTTTCTTATGCATTTACTTGTCGATAGGTAGTACCTGGAGAAGATAACCTATGCTTTTAATCTCAGGTGAGTAATTTTGTACTTTTTGACAATTACGGACAATTATACTTTTTGGGTCCTCAACCTTCTTGTTTAATTTCACTGGAAACTAGTATAATTGACATATCTGACACGGCTCTTATTTGGTGAAGTACTAGATTATCCGTTCTCTAAATACATTAATGCTAGTACATGCTTCATAGCTAAATATTTTTAATCCAGAATTATGTTGGTAAATTTTTTTTCTGTCTGTCTCTCTCTTTTGGTAATTAATGGTCAAGTATACAAATATAAAAGCCATCAAAATGAGAATACTCAATCTGCTAGATGATTATGAATCAAGTCAACAGACGGGTACAGCATCCCTAAGTGGTGATACGTAAAGGATCAATTTGCATTGTGTTGACAGCCCTCCTTCAGGTCATGTCACCTTACACAGAAGCCATCCTGAGCCAGACCAGCAGATATAAATCAGTGGGAGCAGGCAGCTGATTTGCCAAATTTCTACTGGTTCACTTGTTAAACTACTAGTGGAATGATTTCTACCTGCCAACAGAATAAGAGAGCATACAAAGAAAGACAGCACAGGGGAAGACCAATCTAGCACCTCACCATCCAGGGGCTTGGCCTCAGCTGGCGTCTGCTCTTCCTGAACTCCCAGGCTGTTCTCTTTGATACTTTCTATTTCCCGCCAGAAATCCTCCATGGAGGCGCTGTCTATGGAGGCTTGAGAGTTGGAGCGGCTGAATGCCGGGGATTGTAAGGATTCATTGGAGAGCATCCTGCTAATTCTTCGGCAGCGAGAAATGGATTTTCTGAGAAAAGAATAGTATCTGTTAACGAAAATCAGTGTCTCATGTTACAAATCACAAAATTAAATTTAGGTGTGATATCAATGGAGAGATGGAGTTAGTGTGAAAGAGAGGGGTTTGAGGGAATAACCTCCAGTCAGCGGTGGCCCCATCCTTTTCATTCTCTATAATTCATAATGACTTTGTGGCCATGCGGAAATTACCACAAAAATACTTTTTATACCTTTCACACACTCATAAAGTGGGAAGCTGTTCATGTTAGTCAAAACATATATAGTAAAATTTAGCCCCTGTAAAGTATCTAAGATGATGTCAGAGAAGAGTGAAAAAAGCTGGCTGCTCACATCCAGTGGGGTGGGTACTATTAAGCAAACAAAATAAGCATTGGCGAGGATGTAGAGAAACTGGAACCCTTGTTCATTGCTGGTGGAAATGTAAAATGGTACAGCCTCTGTGGAAAACAGCATGGCGGTCCCTCAAAAAATCTAACAGAACTACTGTGATATCCAGCAATTCCACTGACTCTACGTACAAAAGAACTGAAAGCAGAGTCTTGAAGAGATACATGCACATCCATGTTCATAACAGTGATTCACGATAGCCACAAGGCAGAAGCAACTTAAACATCCACTGACAGATCAATGGATAAGCAAAATGTGGTCTATTCATACAACGAAATATTATTGAGCCTTAAAAAGAAAGGAAATTCTGACACATGCTACAACATGAATGAGCCTTGAGGACATCAGGCTAAGTGAAATAAGTCAGTCACAGAAAAACAAATGCTGTATGATTCCACTTATGTGAGGGACCTAAAGGAGTCAAACGCCTAGAGACAGAAAGTAGAATGGTGGTTGTAAGGGTCTGCAGGGAAGGAGGCATGGCGAGTTATTGTTTAACAGGTAGAGAGTTTCAGTTTTACAAGATGAACAAGCTCTGGAGCTGGAAGGTGGAGGCGGTTGCACAACAGTGTGAATGTGCTTCATGCCACTGAGCTGTAGGCTTAAAGGGGTTAATATGGTCAATTTTATGTCGCACATTGTACCAGAATTTGAAAACAAATATTTTTAAATTTAAAGATACATTTTTAAAAAGTTGGCTGTTGAGAAAATGAGCTAATGAGAGGAAATAATCCATGACATTAAACGGAAAAACTCTGTATTAGGATGGGGAAGTGGGGCACTGACTCAGTTCAGGGAGAACCAGATCACCACCAAGGGAAAGGCCCAAATGCTTAGGGGGGCAGCGAAGCTCCAGGTATCGCCACCCAGCAGGACCACTGCTAGCCTAGCAGACAACAGCTGAACAAGGCACAGAGCAGCTCCATGGGATGCTTTCCTCGTGGGATTGCTGCGAGGACTAAGTGAGTTAGCACACGTAAAGCATTTAGGACATAAAACATCCAACAGATGTTAGTCTAAAAAACAAGAGACACAGTAGGGGAGACAGATGCCAAAATGCTGGAATTCTGAGAGAGTTTGGAGATATACATAAAAATAAAATATTTTATGTGAGGTGGTGGATGCATTAACTAACCTTATTGTGGTAATCATTTAGCAATATATACATATATCAAATCTTCAGGTCGTACTCCTGAAATTTACCCCATGTTATATGTCAATTCTATCTCAATAAAGCTGGAAAAATTTTTAAATGTTTCACTCTATGATATATGATTGACAAATATTACACTCCTTAGGAACAGAATGTTTGATTACATACAACACTTCAATCCTCAACCAGGAAGAATGACTGAATTACTCTATGCAGTATGATCTTCTGTTCTTATTCTTACATGATTTTTTTTTTCTTTTTAATTTTCCAGTTGGAGCGTGTATGCAACTCCTGTCAAAGAACTCCTCCACACTGGCTTTCTTCTCCTTGGGTCCAGGTGGAATTGAACCAAAAAGTTGAGACTACTTAACCAATGTGTGGTCAGAGCTGTTTTATCCAAAACAAGAAATCCAGATAGAAAGAGCAATGACATAGTAATGTCCAACCGTGGCATTCTGACTCGCTTAGGACAATTCAATTTTGACATTCAGAGCAGCAGTGGATTACTAACAAACTTCGCCATGTCCTAGAGCATATGTAAAGCACACTGATATGTATAACAGTACAAAAAGAAAGGGGAATAAGAAAAAAGTTCCATGTGCTCATATGGTCTATACCTCTAGGAATCCTAGATTTCTCAATCATCTTTAGTATAAATTTCTAGAATTTGATCATTGATCCTGAGACTGTACCAGACTGTAAGTAGTTCTAGTTCTGCAGTGAGTTAGCCAACTTAGTTTTAAAACTCAGAGCATTTCAGGAAAATATTAGATATCCACTTTTATTTTTTTTATTCTTTGCTGATAAAAATAATTTTATGACGCTTTGATAATTGGGTGATGAGAGTTCTTCACTGAATTCTTTACAGTTTGACAAGACAGACACATTCTAGTGGTTGAAATACATAGGAAATCAATACAGGTCATGAAGGCAGTTACTGCTCCCTTTACTATTTTTAGGCTCTTCAGCCTTTTCTCTTTTGAAAACCACTAATGAATTCATAGAATTATAGTATATAAACATCTGCTTCTGTGAAACTGTAATCAATTACCACTGCTCACACAGCCTACTGCCCTCCATGTACCATATTCAGGAAAAAGTATATAGATGCCCAAAACTTTCTCTAGTTCCAGTTTTGGGGGTTTTTTTAGGTTTATTCTTTGAAAATGAATATAACTTGTAAAAAATTAACAGTCTTAACAGAAGACATGGACTAAGTTTTTAAAAATTATAAGGCGGTATATTATAAGCATAAAAGTTTAAGTAATACACAATTTATAAAGCGGAAGCTGAAGGTTTCTTCCTATCTGTATCATATCATATTGTTCGATAAGCTGCTTTGCTTTCCCCACTCAAAAATATGTCATAGGGCTTCCTTGGTGGCACAGTGGTTGAGAGTCCGCCTAACGATGCAGGGGACACGGGTTCGTGCCCCAGTCCGGGAAGATCCAACATGCCACGTAGCGGCTGGGCCTGTGAGCCATGGCCGCTGAGCTTGCGCATCCGGAGCCTGTGCTCTGCAACGGAAGAGGCCACAACAGTGAAAGGCCCGCATACCGCAAAAAACAAAAACAAAAACAAAAACATGTCATACGTATCTCTTCCATGCCAATACAGAGATAACACCTCAATGGCTGCATGGAAAAGCACCATTTCTCTTAGAAATTAAGAAAACATGCAGATATACCTAAAAACTGAAAATGTTTGAAAAAGTGAGAAATTTGGGAAATATTAAGTGAACCTTAGAAGATGAGGGGCATATATATTTAGGGCTAATAATGATCCTTTTAGTTACAGCACGGTTTCTTACTCATGGAAAGGGAATACTGGTAGAATCTCAGAGAAGAGATCTTCATAAACTTCTGCTGGGAACGGGAGGATTGGAGGTGAAATACAGGTCATGAACATCTGCATAACACACTGGTTTCATCTGAGACAATCCACCCAAAGAATCCTTTAATTGCAACAGTCAACTATTTTTTTTGGCAAGTAAGTCAAACAGCATTTTTGGGATAAGCGCATTTGGAAGAGTTCTCACTTTTTTAGTTAGGGATCCAAATATTTCCCCCTTCACCCCAGGGTAGAGTAGGGACCGTGACCTTCCAGTCTTAAAGTATTACATAATTGTGATGCTTGGGCTCATCCACCACTTTGATGAGCCTCACAGCTTCAAACCTCACCATATTAGGATAAACAGAGCTTCAGCTTCATCAGCTGTTTGTTATTTTTTATTCCAAAACAATACCAGGAAAACACTACATGAAAAACAGAATGCAACTGTTACACAGCATTATATAGCAACTTTTGTTGGAAAAACACCATTAGGTTTGTGTGGGGTTTTTTTAGCCACGCCATGCGGCATGCAGGATCTTACTTCCCGAGACCAGGGATTGAACCCGGGTCCCCTGCAGTGGAGGCACGGAGTCTTAACCACTGGGAAGTCCCAAAACACCATTAGGTTTAAAATTAGATTTAAGTGGATGATAATTACCATAAATTCAAAGTGGCATTAATAAAAAAAATTTTTTTAAAGATTTTACTATTCCATTTTCCCCTCCATAATGTTTTTAGAAATACCTTATATTTTAATGATTACTGGAGATGCTACAACTTCAGAACAATGCAAATAACGTATAAGAGTTTAATTCTCCCTCCACCCCTTATTATATTACTATTGTCATACATGTTGCTTCTTCACATGTTTACACCCCACAATGGTTATTATTTTTGTTTCTTTTAAAAAGTCAATAATCTTTTTAAAAATTAAATAAGTAGTCTTTTATGTTTATCCTTTCTGGTGCTCTTCATCCTTCCTGCATGTCCATGTATCCATAACAGATCATTCTAATCGGTTTTGAGAACCTCCTTTGGTATTTCCTCTCTTTTTCTTTAGCATTTCTTGTACTATGGATCTGCTGGCAACAAATCCCCTCATATTTCTTTCTGAATATGTCTTTAATTCACCTTCATCTTTGATGAATATATTTCCTGGGCATAGGACTCTAGGCTGGCAGATTTATTGTTGTTTTTATAATCCTTTTAAAGACGGCATTCCATTGTCTTCTGTATTCTTGATTCTGATGAAAAGTCAATTATAACTCTTACTGACATGCTTCTAAATATAATGTTCTTCCTCTCTAACTGCTTTTAATAGATTTTTCCCCTTATCTTTTGATTTTAGAAGCTTAATTATAAAATGCCTAGATTGTTTTATTTGTATTTATTCTACTTAAGGTTTACTGAGCTTCTTGAATCTGTGGGTAGATGTATTTCATCAACTTTAGGGTAGTCATCCATTTTCTCTCCGAGTATTTCTTCTGTCCAACTCTCTCTCTCCTCTTCTTCTGGAACTCCAATAACACAACCAATATTGTCCCAAATGTCCTTCACGATATGTTTGTTTCCCCTCCAACCCTCAGCCCTTGTACTTGTTTAGGGAATTTCTACTA